CACCCCACTCTAATTTCGAATCGACAATACATATATATATATATATAATATAATACATATACACTTGCATGGATGACGTTATCATGGGGGTAGCCCATCCCGCGTGATCGTGTACGAGACCTGTCAAGGCGGCGTAGGGATCGTCCAACGTGTGGCGACGCTGTTTCCCCAGGTAAGATATGACGTTGCTCCTTGGAATAAAAAATAATAATTAAATTTTATTTTTGAAAATTTGAAATGATAAAACAATTTAAAATTAAATTGCTACCTACTCCTTTGCCTTCGAACTGACGATATTTTTGGTTGATTGTCTTGGTAGATCGTCGCGTGTGCAAAGTCCATCGTCGACACGTGCGACTGTGTGGACGGCTGTCCTCGGTGCATCCACTCGCCCCATTGCTCTGAACTCAACTTGGCCGTGTCCAAGCCAGGCGCGATTGCCGTCTTGGCGTACATGGCTGGCCTCCTCTTGTGTCCTTGATAACAACAAACCCCATATCATTATATCATTTTTCTCTCTACCGTCGCTCTCGACGACTGCTTCGATCGGTGGTTCTCTGGTCGTCCCGGTGGTTCCTGCTGCCATGATGACCATCCGTTTTTCTCGACTGTTTGCGGTCACTTGACCGAGAGCGACGTCTCGAGTAGCGGGGTCGTCTGCGACAATGTCGTTTGTCGTCAGAATCATCGGAACTCGAACGCTGTCGACGTTTGCTGCGTGGGACTTGGTCGTGCGTTGCTGCTTGAACCTCGGGTTTTGCTTGTACTAGGGCACCAAAAGGGTAGTGTGGATTCGGAATACAAATGTCCAGAATCACGAATCTATCGACGCTATTGGCTCTTCCAATTTTGAGTGGATTTGATTGGCTCTTACAGAAAGGATAAGTAAGGATATTCAACCAATCAGAACTCCAGCATGACCCAATATTGATTGGACAAACCAAGCGAATTTTGCAAGTTTAGAGCGAATTAAGAATATCTCAATATTTTCGATTCCTTTCTTGCAAGTAATGACGGTGAAAGCCAAGAAATCGATGTAACTACTAATATATATATACCTGAGGCAGACGGAGATCGATACCGCAGTGTCGGTGGGCTCCGTTCGACTGGATTGGCTAACGGATGCAGGAAATTGCAGTCCCCGCCTCGCACACATCGCCGCCGCGCAAACAGTCCGCAAATGGCGTCGGCCCAGCTGGTCATGGGCGTGAGTTCAGGCAACAGCTACGATATACAAGAAACAATGTATCAACTAGAGTCTTTGTTCACGGCAGAAAGCTAGAACTGCGACAAGGGCGGGAGATATATGAGATTTTCGAACCTGCTTTCCAGCATACCATCGCCCGTAGAGGGCGGTGTGGGCAGCACATGCCATCGCGGCCGTTTGGTATTCGACGTATACATTGCCTCGCAAATGCGGCGCAGAGTTGCCGCATGTCTAGCATGACGTACGTGGCAGATGGTGTGTGAAATAGCCAAGGACAAAACAGGAGCAAATGCTTGAGATGGATGGCCCAGAGGTGTACAACACAAGTGTAACAAGAAACGGTACATGTAGCTGCACGAGGTGTCCAAACTTGAGGAATTCTTGCAGCACGTCCGTGTAAAAGACTCGGTAGGCCCGCCGTATTTCGCGCTCGTCCAGCTATAAGATGCATATACCTTAACTACCATCGCGATGGAAATGTGTACCTCGAGATGGTCGTCGCCATCGCGGTGCGATGGGATGCCGATTGTGTGCATGCCCTGTCAACCAACACCAGCACCATGTATGTTACCTTGCATATCCATGCGGAGAATATGCATGGTGTACCGGAAACAAGATGAATCGACCTGCGGTGGACGAACTTGGAGGAGCATGGACGCGACTGCATCGATCGCCGAAGCGGCACACTCCAGTGCGGACGTGAAAGCTACACAACACTTTTGCTTTCTACAATCGAATCATGATATGAAAGGATGGTGCATCGTTCATGGGGACGAAAGTCGTGACTGTACGTACCTGCTCGTCCGACATACTGTCTAAGTTTTCAGTCCACGCTTTGAGCTCCATCTACAACGAACGAGGGTGCAAATAAATCATGATGCATGATGTCCACAACTCGTGTGTACCACTCGTTGGGTGTCTCGTGCTCGGGCCGTTGCTTGTCGCACTTCCTGATCATGCATCTCCTTCTCCAATGTTTCCTGCTCCATCTGTTGTTTGATGTCGTCCATGAGTCGTTTCCTTTCCTCCAAGATGCGTTGCTTCTTCTTGAACGCGGCATCGGCATTTGCCGTCGCACGCACCCACAAGTCGTGACACACCTGTCGTGCCTCTTCCTCTTCCATGGCCACCCGTTCAAGCTCTTCGGGGCTTTCATGTACTTGAAGCTCCGCTTGTAGTTGTGCATACAGCCGCCGCTTCCTTCGCTTCGCCAGGTTCTTTGTGTGCGTCCGTCGAGTGCCTTGAACCATGGTACTGATCTGAAATTGTGGGCATGAACAGTAAATTAATTGATTAAAACCAATCCATCCCGCTGATTGGTCAGCTAAATGTCCTCTGGGTCATATGATTGGTCAAAACTAAAATCCACGTTGACTCGTAAAAGGAATGCTTAAACCGCATTTAAAGTACAATAGGGCATATGATTGGTCAAAATTAAAATCTAAACGGAGCTTCCCCAGTTCAATGAAGAAACGGCATGCTGCATTGAACCTTCTCAATGATGAGCATCTTGGGTCCACTGGATCGTGCTAGGGTCAATGCCTTCCTGCACCATCTCCCACAGCGGACTCATCTCACGCAGCCGGCTGACGTGCTTGACGCAGAGCGCGACGGCGAAGTCCACTTCCTCTTCCGTGGTGAAACGACCCAATCCAAAGCGGATCGACGTGTGCGCCAGGTCTTCCCCGACGCCAATGGCGCGCAGCACGTACGAAGGTTCCAGCGACGCGCTCGTGCACGCACTGCCACTCGACACGGCAATGTCCTTAAGCGCCATGAGCAAACTCTCGCCTTCGACGTACGCAAAGCTCAGGTTGACGTTGCCCCAGTATCGGTGTTCCTTGTCGCCGTTCAAAATCACATGCGGGATCGCGTCGTGGATGCCTTTCTGCAGCTTCTCGGCGAGATGTAACACCCACTTGTGGTCGTGTTCCATTTCGCGCTGCGCCACAGCACACGCTTCGCCCAGGCCGACGCACAGCGGGTGCGGCAACGTGCCGCTGCGTAGCCCGCGCTCTTGGCCCCCGCCCGACAAAATCGGTTCCAAGCGGACGCGGGGACGGCGGCGGATGTACATGGCGCCGATGCCCTTGGGGCCGTACACCTTGTGGCCGGAGATGGACATCGCGTCAATGTTCATTGCGTCCACGTCGATGGGGAGCTTCCCCACCATCTGCGCGGCGTCCGTATGGAAGAACACCTTGCGTTCGCGGCAGATGCGGCCGAGTTCCGCCAGCGGCTGCAACACACCGATTTCGTTGTTGACGGCAATCACGGACGCCAATACCGTGTCGGGACGGATCGCCGCCTTGAACACGTCGATGTCCACCAATCCGTTGGTTTGCACGGGCAGATACGTTACCTATACGACAACTTGATAAGAAATGCACAAGCAACGGGTATACTTGAATGGACAACGTACGTCAAAGCCCTCGGCTTCCAGCACACGGCACGAGTCCAACACGCACTTGTGTTCAATCTGAGTCGTGATCACGTGCTTCTTCTTGGACTTGTAGAACCGACCGATACCTTTGATGATCGTGTTGTTCGATTCGGTCGCGCCAGACGTGAACATCACTTCCTTCGCGTCGGCACCGATCAGGGCCGCGACCTGGCCGCGTGCGTGTTCCACCGCCCTATCCGCGTCCCACCCGTAGCTGTGCGTGCGGGAATGCGGATTGCCGTAGCTGTGCGTCAAGTGTGGCATCATCTTGTCCAACACACGAGGGTCCAACGGAGAGGTCGCTTGGACATCCAAGTACGCAGCGCGGCCTTGCGTGGTTTGCCCCTTGATAGAAAAGCCAGGAGAAAACACCTTGTCTGAATGCACGTTTTGCAGGACGCTCTCCGGCACTTCGTTCACAGGTCTGTAGCGCTTGTCATCACTTGTCTTTGTGCTCATGGCACGATGAATCGTTGCGACGGAGCGCACGCGGCGGGCGGCGCCGGCAGATCGCAGCGCAGACAGCATGTTGATCTCTTGATTGATGAACACCACTGAACCCGACCGCACAAGTGGATGTTGGGAGTAGGGGGATAATAGTCTGATATGATTGGTGAAAGATAGGCTCGAATTGGCCAATCATTTCGGAGTAGTCATCACCTTGCGACTGCGTTGGTTTTATACACGCGTTCAATTACGAGCACTAGATCGATGAGTTCAAAGCCATCGGTTTAGTGCAGCTATCGAAATAATGCAGTTAACGTCGTTAATACTAACGTAAAAAACCAGTTTAGCAAGCAGTATGACTTTTTTGGAGGCGTCCGAGTAGAATGGACATGACTTTTGAGTCCGATATTTGAGTTTTGAGAACTATAGTAGGAGAATCGATTAAAGAACCGCCTGAACCAATCAAATCACGTCATGTAGAATTTCTGCCAATCCAAACGTTTGACCCCGCCGCATTGGGCAAAACCACATATATACTAATCTGTGTATAGTTTAATGTGCACAAGATTAAATAGGATCAAATAGGTTCGAAAGCTATTTGGTGAATGAAATGACTCTCAAGTCCAAATTTGGGTGAAATGCACAATAACACGGTGCAAAGTGCTTGTTGCCAGTTGATATTGAGCTTCCCCGGCGCCATTCATTGAAGCGGGTCGACTAATGTTACAGTAAAACTGCGCTTCTCACAACGAACGTTATGCAGTAGTTGATTCGACTCGAATATGATGAACACTTTCAAGTTCTGGCTAGCCGTGTCAACGTTAGGTCAAATACGTAATGTCAGCACTCGAATTGCACTTGACCAATCGCGGTTCGTTGTTGACGTTGCCCAGACAGAATCCAATGTGCCGCTGGTGCTGCAATTGGTGCGTGGTTCCATTGTACGTCCATTGTTGGTTGTCATTCTGGTCGTCGCACGAATACCCATGGATATCCCCACCGATCCATGGCTCGTACGCGTCCAAACACAGGGCGATGGCATTCTCGCTACTAACATTACTAGCCTTGTCTGGCACCGTTGATGCCGCTACGACTAACGGGCCACGTAGCGTCCAGTGGGCAGGCGCGTCGTCCTCGCGCCAGGTTGACCGTAACTGGTGAAACTCCACGCGTCGGCTATGCCAGAGTTGGTTGATCGTAGCGTTGTCGATAGCCAAGGCGGCGACGACGTTGGCATGGGGTACTTTGATGCTTGTGATAAACGTCCCTCGGGTGTCGTTCGCGGCTACAGGTGCTGGGGTGCCGTGGACGATCACATCTTTACTTTGGCTAGCACGTCGTGGGTTGCCACTCCCACCACCAAAGTTCCACTCGCCAGACGCCCACGCGAGCCCAAATGCTTTTTCAAAGTCGTCCGGTTTGCCCAAGTTGTCGTGGAACATAAAGTAGGCGGGTAACGTGCCTCCGTTGCCTCGACGCACCCAAGCGTCGACGTCGTTGGCGTACTTTTCAGCGAGGGCCATGCTAGGCACGTGATGGCCGTTTGGACGTCCACTGGTGGGCCATCCCGTCTCTGTAAGCTCCACCGACTTGGTCGGAAACCGACTGATCATGGCGCCCCACCGCCGGCCGAGGTCGAGCACAGGATCTACACCAGAGTCGGCGCTGCCACTGAAAAACGGATGGATGTTCACCCCCAACACGTCGCACTCGGCCGCCAGGGATGGCGCTTTCAGCCAGTCGCCATCCGTCTGTACACTGCCCACAGGAATACTCAGCCCGACGCTCGCCAGCTTGGCTTTCATCTGCCGCACCCGAGCCAACACAAACTCCTCGGTGAATCGCCCGCCTATCAACTCTTCGTTGCCAACGAATATGGTCCGCACACTGGACGGGTGGCGCCGCGCGCCGTCAACCGCAGCTTGCATGTCGGCTTCAACGTTTCCATTCGCTCCTTGGATCCAAATCCCAGCGTGGATACTGAGCCCCACCTCTGCCGCCACGTCGATGTGGTTGCGCAAGCCAATGGTTTGAAACGTTCGGACTCCAGAAAACCGTTCCTTGATGCGGTTGAAGTGGAAGTCCACTTTGCCAGGCACCCACGCTTCGTGCGAGTCGTAGCAGACACTGAGGGGTCGATCGTCATAAGCACCTGACGGCTGCCCCGCTTGCAACATGATCTTGGTCGAATCGAATGCTTCCATGGCAGTTTGAGGGGGCGACGTCCATACCAAGTAGACGATGCCGCCGATGACTCCAATAATGAGGACGAGGGAAATGATCCACACACGAGGCAGCCAACGAAGAGGGGTCGCCGACGGCGTGTAGGCGGCTTTCACGGCAGAAGGGGTTTCGGTGGCCTTCATGATATCAATTGCGTTGTGAGGTAGATCCATTGCGCATGAAGCGCTTCCTCGTTGCAGCGTTGACCATTGAGGTTCAACGTGCACAGAACTGCAAGTCTGGACAAACCCTTCGAATGCACAACCGCATCTTTTCGAGGGTCAATTGAAGTGCAATCTCAACGAACCGACGATTTGGGCGTATTGCTGGCATGCATTCGCCCAAATCGTCGGTTCGTTGAGATTGCCAGCAATGGTGTGTTGTTGGGTGGTGAAAGTTGATCCGCTCCTTACTGAAAAGATCGAGGTTCACATAAAGTTACTGAAGGAACGCTGCAGTAGGGGCGCGGGGTTACATTGGGGGGGGGGGCGTCTTATAGTCTCCAACCAATACCGACGTTAACTCATTTGCAGGAGACTGCTGGAAATGATCAACCTTTCGATCCTCAAACGATATGGTACAGTAGTACATTGTTCATCATCACCACACAACACGCTAGAATCAAATCGTGTTCAGCCTGACGAAGAAAGCAACAGTGCACTACTTTTAATTGCCGTTTTGAAGGATTGGCACGTTCCTCAATCGATTGCGGCTGAGTTGCTGACTGCACACAAAACGGTTGCATAACTTTTAAAAATAACGTTATGACATTTACTAAGGGCTCCTCTGGATACCATGCCATAAAAATATGCCAAAACTCGAAATGAGATTTTACAAAATTTGTCCAAAATACAAACGCAATACAAAAACAAGAGATGGTGAAACCGTCTGGATTCATCCGGATTCAAACTTGCGCGCCAAAACGATGGTCACGACCATGATGATCCTGCTTCGTCGGCGGCGCCTCAAGCGACGTCGCATGATGTTGATGTCATACCTGGTCTACCACTACTCCGCCTACGTCTTGAAGACGTCAAAGGGGGTCTCCATCTTGTAGGGGGCTTTGTGGGTTGCCGAAATACTGCAAGGAAACGAAGATGCATTCGAGGAGACGTTTCGAATGTCCCGTGATGCGTATGGTGGACTGCTGCACGATCTCGCCCAACGTCCAAAGGCCCATCTGTGTGCTGTGGGGTTGCTGCGGTTTTCGAAATGCGCCGTTTTGACAGAACATTGATGTTGAAGTGTTATAAATATGGACTGTCTTTACATGAGAAATTGACCATTTTGGTCAATTTTTTTATGCCATAATTCGTGAACTTTCTAGCTATAATTTTGTAATATTTCCTTTGGATTTTGTGGTATCCAGACGAAACAACTTCGCGACTTTGTCATTTCACCATTTTATGGAGATTTTCGTCATTTTATGCCATAATTCGTGGCATCCAGAGGAGCCCTAATGTTACTTTGATCCGAAATGTTTGTCAGGTAGGTTTTCATTTGATTAAAGTATGTGCCATGGCTTTCGAACAAAGTGATTTTTGTATGCAGCTCCAAGACAACATGTTCAAGGAGCTTTATTAGTTTATGCAGGACCCATCGTTGTATCGCTTGTCCATTTTGCTCGACGAATTCTGTAAATTTCCTATGTAACAGATGTAAATTCCGCCCAGATGTTTGACTTAAATAATGTATGACGGATTTGACCACCGAAATTCTCATAACCTCTTACTAGTAATCTTTATTAAGTGTACAAGGTATTCAATTTATAAGTCATTGTAATTACTTCGAAGTATAAGATTACATGAATTGTCAAAGAAACCAAATATTAAATGCTAAGGGTATTATTTACCTGAGTACCTTATTTTATCCTATCATCTTCGTACGATGATTGTGATTGGCTGCCAACTGGGCGGAAATTACAGGGCGGAAACTACATGAATCACCTTATGCGATGGAACGAACGAGAAGATGGCGTGGTTTTCAACTGATGTGGCACCATACGTACAGTACATCGCTGTACGGTAGAACTCTGGCACATGTCCTCGCTGTGTATCATTTGTAATACCGTGTAACGTATATAGGTTTAGACAGCCATATAGATTTGGACTCCTCTGTAAAATTATATAATTGGATTATTACACTTGATTATTGTATGCATATGGTAATTTACACTATCCGTATCCGGATACTTGCTGTCCAAATCTATATATGTTACACGGTATCAAAAGTTGTTCATGGTGACCAGTGAATTCTGCAATTTGGTCCCGAGAATAGCAGTTATAACTTCGATTTGCACTTTTCAAATGTGCAAAAGCGAGGAGTTGCATAAACGACCTCCCTATAACTTAAATTCTATAACGTAACGTGACTTCCTAAATCACGGCACGGATTATGTAAAACACTGGGGTCGATGTAACAAACACCCAGGTTTATGGTGTGAATAGCCAAAACGAGTGAAAAGCACAACATGTTATTTTAATAACTTGATGCTATATTGTCGACTTTCTTCGAAATTACTTGTCGCTGATTGGCTACAATCCATTTTCGAGTTTCTACTGGAAAGGGCGAAGTGGATAATGGCCAATCGGATGTCTCGGCTCTATTTGTGCTCGATTGAACGAACCATGCAAAATTGGGGAATTCGGATTGACCAATGGGAGAGATTGGTGCTCGATTCGCTCGGCGAGATTCGATTGAACGGGGGGGTCTGGAAATTCATAGTACCGAATCTCCAATATTTCGATGTCATCTTTTTAAATTATGGCATACTACGTAGTATTTATTTGGTATTCTCGTGCCAAATTTGAAGTCCATATTGTACACTATTAATAGTACGTTTTGAACAGCGGAATCGAATACAAAGTCACCTTGCACCAAAACTCGGCTCCTTCGCCTAGACATACGATCATCCTTGCTTATGTCATCGAGGATGGCTACAGTCCGCAGCCACCAGTCAAATTCACTATCGTAAAAGTTAGCCATTATGCATCACTATAATCGCCAGCGAAAGTACATGCTGGGAATGTTGCCTGGCCTTTAGCAATAATCTTCAAACTGCCCACATTGCACATCGCGTACACCTGTCGTTCGAAACACCCAAGGAAAAATCCTGGATGAGTTTATTTACTGGACTGCCTAAATCCTAGTTCGAAGGATGTATTTTCAAAGGGATAATTCCCTATTGCCCCCGATCTTCCATCCCATTGTAACGATCGTTGGGAACCCCCATTTATACCATGACAACCTGGACGACAAGAAAATGTTTGTTGGCAGTTCATGGAAAGGCAAAAGGTCAGGCTATACAGCCTTGCGACCAACCGAAACGACTCCATTTTCAAAGATGCCGCCGTCTGAGCACCATGCCTCGGCCGTCGTGGTCACAACGTCGTCTGCGATAGTCATGGTCACACCAGACGTTGAATACAAAGGGTCGTCGAAGTCGACCGACGCATTGCATCGACGAAGAAAGACTCGGCTTCTTCAGGCGTTGGCCACGGGATTGCTTGTCGTTGGCGCCGTGGTCGGTGCGCTCATGATCTCGACGTCATTGCATGACGCATCGTCCGCGCACGACGCCACAGTCGCGGCTGCAAATGGCCAAGTGAGCGTGTGCTACGACTCGTACGACTCGCGCAACATGCCAGATCACTTTAAGCGCATCAAGGAGCGGTTCGCCGGTGTCCGCACATTCCAAACCCAAGGAGCGTTCAACCACATTGAAGTCGCGGCGCAAGCAGGGCTACAGATCTACGCAGGGATATGGATCCAAAGCGGAAACGTCGAAGGGGACATGGCAGCGGCCGTGTACGGCGCCAAGAAGTACCCTGGGACCGTCAAGGCGATTCTCGTGGGGAACGAAGAGCTCATGGTCGGCCTTAGCGCGTCGTTTGTGATTGACAAGGTGAACCGCATGAAGCAACTCCTTCGGGAAGCCGGCGTCAGCAACGTCCCCGTGGGGTCCGTGCAGATGGACGGCAGTTGGTTCGGCAACCCCGGACTCGCCGACGTGTGCGACGTCATGGGGGTGAACATCCATCCGTTCTTCAGCGCCACCGACATCTCCAAAACCCGCCCGATCGAGGATTTGAAGACGCGGTGGCAAAACCTCGTCAACCGGTTCGGGCACAAGTCGATTGTCGTGACTGAAGCGGGGTGGCCCACCAGTGGCAGCCCCCTGAACGGCCATGTGCCGTCGACTGACACGGCCAAGCAGTTCATCAACGACATGCGCGACTGGGCGGCTGGCGGTGGCGGCGGCGACATGCCCGCGTACTTTATGTTCCACGACAACCCGTCGAAATCGATGGATTTTGAAAAATCATTTGGTCTGGCTGGGACTGACGGCGTGTGGAAGTTCGACTTCAACGGTCCCCTGCAGCGCTCGCCGTCCGAAGTCAAAGGCGTCGTGTTTGTCAACACAGCCAACGACCAGGTGCTGGCGGCGGCACCACTTCGCAAAGTCGAGTTCCATGCCAAGTGGGGCAACGACTGGGTATGGGACTGGTCTTCGCAGTGGACGATCCGCGGGCCGCTCATTGTCACATGGGACGACTACAACAAAGTAGACCTGTGCCTGGATGCATACGAGGGCTTCAACGGCGGCACTGTGCACTTGTGGCCCTGCGACACTGCCAACGGCAACCAGCAGTGGAACTACGACGGCGACGCCAAGCTCCTTCGACATGCCACGCACGACGGCTTTTGCCTTGACATGGGCAACCCGAACGGCGGCACTCCGCACTTGTGGACGTGCCACGAGTCGTGGGACCCGTGGGTGAAGTTGCAGCAGCTGGAATGGTGGACCAAGTAGTAGGGACCTGTAAACTGACTTGATCAGGATATTTTTTAGCTAGTAACACAATACTCGCTTGTTGCTGCATGTGATGGCGAGTGCAGTTATGCATCGGTACTAGTATGTATGCTGCTGGTATCGCTGTCGACGATAACTTTATGTTTTACGTATTTTCCCGAGATTTGCAAAACTATGGTGGTGAGAAAACCTGGTAATTAGTACTATTAATAGTAATACAGTGCTACTAGGTAGGGATAGGGGTTGAACTACGACGCAGGAAAACGGCTACTATATTGCTACGAAGCAGGAAAACGGCTACTATATTGCTAGAGTAAACGTGAACTGCAGCCAAAGTTATACTGACGCCACTCCATTCGCATGCGACCCCTTCAAAGCGTGGAAGGGTGCATGCAATCTCCAAGGTCACATATAGAGTATGGTGTTGTTTTCGAATATGTGGTCAGCAGGGGCAGCTTTAAGCTCACTGGTGGCCCCCAACGATAAGTACTTGGTTGGTGTAAGCAAACCTACGACCAACTAGTCAGCTGTAAATTTTGAAACTTCCAAGCGTCGCACATGGAGAGAACTACTACTACTACGTAGTACTACGTAGTACCCGTACCCTGTACGAAAGCGTTTTAGAGTGCGAGTTTTCCAAATTAACCTGCTCCGATAGGAAGCAAATACGGGTAGTGCAAGTCCAGTATATAATAAATATGCAAACAACATGCTTTTTCATGAATCCCAGCCAACCGACGTACATATTTTCATCTCAAAAGTGTTTAGAGCATGGAGTTCAGTTCCGTTTCATTCTTGTAAATTTCGAATGGAATGCAAGTTTTGTACTATCACCGAACGGTTTAAGCCGCATGTGATTTACAGGGACGATGGTTGCCATCAAGTTGCACTACATTCTGTAGTACTGTAACATTACGAACATTGTACTTACAGTTGTATATGATCACAGCATCATCCAACAATCCTTCAAACTAGTGGCCACGAGCCCTCCAAATCTCGTGGTCACGAGACACAAAGATTACTGTGGTCAGCAAGAATCGACGAGTGTGCGGCGGAGATGGATTTGATATTACAAGATATCACAAAGTTTACGCGGACTTTACCCGGACCGAATTTGCATGCCTCTACTAATGACAGTAAACGTATATATTACTACGAATTGACAAAACGACTAACTTATACTTGCACTCACCAATAAGTTGGGTCTCACAACAACCCCACTGGAACGAATCGTCGGCAAAATGGCACAGCGCAGGAGCCTCGCTTCAACGGCCTCGGCAGAAAGTGTTTCGGACCTCTGCAACGGATGCCAAAATGCGTCACGTCGATTCCATGCGATCTCGTCCACCCACGAGCTCCAACCAACGCCGGCAGAGATTCAGTGGGAATTGCCCCAACACTGGAATGTGTCAACCATTGAACTATGCAGGCAGTTGTGCAGGCCGGGTTCATAGCATTGGTTGGCTGGCGGAGCATCGCACATGGGTAGTGAGCGGGGCTGTAACAACCGCGGACGGGTGATCGCTACCGACAATCCGAGGATAGTGCTCATATGTTTCACATGTGAGCGTTCAACAAAAGTATTTTATAATCTGATAGGCCTATTAAATTAAAGTACTGGATACTAGTATTGCACTAGGAATCAGATTGCATTAAAATAGTGTTACCTTCTGCCAATAGGATTATATAATACATTTAAGTGTAAAGCTGCATGGAATGTTTGAATTATGACTCTATCCTGTGACCTGGCGTGACCCTGACGTGCCCGAGTTGTGGATTCCCGTCATGGGAAAATTCCCCTCGGTCAATCATTACCATGGTGTTTGCACCTAATCAAGTCGATGAGGTACGAGGAAGTATTCCCCGCCAGCCAAATGGAGCGTTTCGTACGCTCCGATCAGGCGAGTCAACTTTGGATAAAATTAGAAAATCGAAGCTACCAGCGCCTTCAACGTTTGGTTTCAGTCGTGTGATACAAGGTGAACAAACACCAACCACAATGCGATTCACTTTGCATTTAGCACTCGTGTACAGGAAATAACCATCGATTGCTAAGGAGCACGGATCGTAGCAGATAGCACATCATGGATGTCCACACAACCCTCGATGACACATGCACGATGGCACAGACGCCGCGCAATGACATTCTGTACGCTGCCGCCGTCGACACGTGCGAAGATGGCATCGCTACGACGGCCACCGAAGAAGAGGTTGTCCAAACCACCAACAAGTGGTCCAAGAGACGCCGAGCCATGGTCGCGCTCGCCACGGCGTTGGTCGTGGTCGGTGGCATCGTCGCGGCCTTGGTCCTCGTCCAAGCTCCCAACTCCACCACCGTCGCCACCGTGGGTACTGGCGGCGACGTGAGCGTCTGCTACGACTCGTACAACGACGTGAACATCGCAGCCCACTTCAAAACGATCCGCCAGCGATTCACTGGCGTGCGCACGTACCAAACCCGCGGCTTCCGCAACGCGATCGACGTGGCGGCCGAAGCCGGACTCAAAATCTACGCCGGCGTGTGGATTCGAACAGACGAAGGCAGCATCAATGCAGACATGCAGGCCGTGGTGGATGGCGTGCGCCGCAACCCGTCGGTGGTCAAAGGGGTGTTTGTCGGCAACGAAGAACTCCACGAAGGCATTGACCAATGGACGGTGCTCGGGCGCGTGCGCCAGATGCGTCAGCGGCTGCAAGCGGCTGGGCTGGGCTGGGTGCCCGTCGGGTCGGTCCAAGTGGATGGCAACTGGGCGGGTGCGGGTGCGCTGGCCAACGAGTGCGACCTCATTGGGGTCAACATCCATCCGTTCTTTAGCGCAGCGTCTGTCTCGACATGGAACCCAATCGAAGATTTGAAAGTTCGGTGGAATGCCATGTACAACGCATACGGGGGCCGCGCGGTGTTGACGGAAACGGGGTGGCCGACCTCTGGATCACAATTCTATGGCCACTGGCCAAGCTTTGACACGGCCAAGAACTACTACTTTCAAGTGCTGGAGTGGTCGAAAGCCAATGGCGGCAACATGCCATCGCACTTTATGTTTCACGACAACGCGCTCAAGCCCACGGATTTTGAAAAAGCATTCGGGCTCGCGTGGTCCAACGGCGTGTGGAAGTGGGACGCCCCCGCCGCGACAGAAGTGAAAGGCGTCGTGTTTGTCAACACAGCCAACAACCAGGTGCTCGCGGCGGTGCCATCGAGCCGTACAGTCGAGTTCCATGCCAAGTGGGGCAACGACTGGGTATGGGACTGGTCTTCGCAGTGGACGATCCGCGGGCCGCTTATTGTCACATGGGATGCTGCCAACAAGGTGGATCTGTGCCTGGATGCGTACGAGGGCTGGAACGGCGGCACTGTGCACTTGTGGCCCTGCGACGCTGCCAACGGCAACCAGCAGTGGAACTACGACGGCAACGCCAAACTCCTTCGACATGCCAAGTTCACGGGATTTTGCCTTGACATGGGGAACGCGAACGGCGGCATCCCGCACTTGTGGGCGTGTCACGACTCGTGGGACCCGTGGGTGAAGTTGCAGCAACTGGAATGGTGGACCAAGTAAAACCTCTTGAATGCACGACGCCAAAGAGGAGTTAGCCGAGATGCAAGCTGGGCTGGCAGGGACAGTAGTATTAGCCTGCCAGTCATCGCTTGTATGAAAACACACAGACACAATAACACACTAATAATTCGAATCAAGTAGCATACATCCATCGACCAAACTTAACAAATGCCATGTAACTGTCAATCACTCACCCAATAGACAAAACAGTTTCATGTGTAGTCGGTTACAGATTATTTCGCCGGCATACCGTCGTGACAAGGGATGGACGCGGTGCGGCCGCTGTTGGCGCCCATTGGTGAAGGAGCTGCTGATAGAACCAGACCATCTTGTCCTTCGCCCGAGACGACTTGTCGGCCTAAGTCGGCCAAACTAACGGGTACATCGTTCCCAAAGGCGCACACAGTGGCAACGTTTACACCGTCCGATAAACTCATGCAAAACACAAGTGGAGCCGTCCGCCGCGCGAGCCTCGATCGTCGACACACCACCGCCAGTCTCGGGCACGCTGGTTCTAGTCGTCGAGGGAACATAACCGCCGATCCTTTGGAAGAGCCAGCGTCCGAGAACGACCCCCTTCCCCAAGACACCGACCCCCCGACCCTCGTCGGGACCAAAGCCGTGCTTGTGGACGCCCACGGCCGTCCCATCGCCGGCGTGAAGTACAACAAGGGCGCGATGACACACATGAAGTTTCGCAGCGTGGAAGCCCCCGCGTCGCACATCCACCCAAACGACAAGAAGCTCGCGGCCAAATTGGCGTCGACAACGAACCGATCGGAAAAAGACGTCCGGTGTGGGTTCTGCCACGCCAACAACATGCTGTGGCACCTCCGGTGTACATTCTGCGGGTGCTGTCGGGTTAGCGACGTGCCCCGCATGCACTACATCGTCACGATGATACTGTCGGTGGACCCCAACATCTCTGCTACCAAAGTAAGCCGTCGTTCCTTTCGATATATATATATATCGCCCTACATCCTTACACTCTGCGGGGGCAACACAGCGCGATGGCATCATCGTGTAATCATGTCGGTTATTAGCTGGCCCACCAACTGCTTCAGTACGCCAAATTTGACGGCACAGCCGTGGAAGCCGAGAAAAAGTTCAAACAAGCGACGCTCGTGCGGTCCAAAGCCGCGATGGTGCTCATGACGCGCAACACGGACCGCCTGCGCTGGCACATTGTACGCATGATGTTCATGGCGTGGAAGAAAGTGCGCACGGAAGCCACGCGCGGCGATGAGACAATGGCGCGGCTGATCAAGATTAAGGAGATGCAGACGCAGGGTCGGCTCAAGTCGCAGGTATTTTCCAACTGGAAAAACTTGACCATGGTCAAGTGGGACGAACGGTATGCCAAGCTCTCGATCGCCGCCGACAGGTACCGACACCCCTAGCCATCCCCCAAATACTGTGTAATATAATGTTCAAAATGACGACGATCGTAGGCGCGTTCAAATGTCCAAGCGATACGTTTGGTCGCAGTGGACACGGTACATCGTGGGCCGACTGCGGAAAAAGTGCTCGTATTTGAAACAAGTCATGATGTACGATCAACTAGCTGGAGCGCATTGAAAAAACATGGACATGTGACAGACTTTTGCGTCGACTGATTGTAGGTCGAACCAAGATTTGGTCATCGCCCAACCGTCCGACGAGTTTGACCAGGCGAAGAAAATTGTGTACGATCTCAAGGAAGCGCTAGTGGCTGCTGTCGACAACAGCTTGGCCACATCGGAAGCCCTCACTGCACATTTGCGAGAAGGCATGCAAGGTACTGATTACCTCAACACTCCTAGCTCAAACAGGGGAACTGGCATGAAAGGGACGCTACGCTCTTGTAGACATTGTGCACATCCAAACCATGCTTCCAAGTACTGCGGGGTACCTCGTGGGGGTGTCCAATCTCTCGGTAAGCCCATCATCATCTACTCCTCCCCCTTCTTATGCAGCCATCTCCCCCCCACATACTTAGCCATGCTTGGATCATGCATACTATTCTCTATTTATCCATGTCAACTCGTAGCCGATTGTCGAAGGGTTTGTGCATGGCCAAATCGACTTGCTGGAATCGACCAACACGACCAAGAAAGACCTTGGGTTCACCCAGACGGCATTGGATGCAATTGCCGACCGCGTCGGGCGGTTCATTCCATGGGATGCGGTGCTGCAGTGGCTTAACCTGCAAATTGCCTACATCCACGGCCGATTGGGTCGCAAAGTCTTTGCGCCCATCACGTCGCTGCAGGACATCTCCGCGTCCTTGAGTTCCCCCAAGCTGGTGCTGCACTTACTGTGGCACCTCCAGCCGTCGACGTTGGCCGAGTACGACAAACTGTACGCGGACGAGTGCGAAAAGGACCCGTTGCTGCCGTTGTCCCAGAACTCGGCCGCGAACCGGTTCGTGCAGTGGAAGCTGTTTCTCAAGGTCGCGCAAGCCCGGATCTACCTTCCAGACGACATTGCCACGCGGGACGATCTCATGGCCGGATACTTTGATGCGTACTATGGCATCTTGGTGTACATGTTTGCCATGTTTGCCGACGCCGCGCCCAGTACCAGCGTCGACAACATCGGGCAGTTTGCGTTTCTGCAAATGTGGCCCGGACTTAAGAGTGCACTGCAAACGACCAACGCGTATGACACCGACGCCGGGCTCCGAGAAGCGTGTCGGGAGTTGGTTCGTCGCCTCCGAACGCTCGAGGACTGCCAAGTCAAGCTCCTCGGCATCCACAGGCAGCTCCAGCGGGTGCTAGCCATGCACCGCCAAGCAGTGTTACGTGGCAACGTGAGCGACTTCTGCCGGCGACTCAAAGGTCGCGAGTCCATGATCGCTGTGGCATTGGAGAAGGAGGAGCTGCTCCCAGCAGTGCAGCTCGACTACGCCCGCGTGGCCAAGCTGTGCTCGGTGGACGAATGCAATCTCATTCAAAATGTGTTTAACGACCAAGTGGTGCCGCTGATGCACCTGTTCAAAGCCAGTGGGGGTAAGAGTATCAGCGAGCACGAGTTCTACAAACTCATGAGCCAATGTGGCCTCATTGAGCGCAAGAACATGACGCGCGCGTACCTCCAGATCATCGTCCAAGCGTCCATCAAGGGCGACGTCGGGGGCGTGGGCACGCCGGACGTCGACCGATTCGGAGACGTCGACTTGACGTCGACCGAGTTCACGGAGGCGCTGCTGCGGGTGGCCAACCACTTGCACGAGAAGCGGCCGGCGGTGCCCCTCGTAGACATGGTGAAGGACTTGATGGAGGCCCGGCTTATGCCGCTAGCATCGGCCATCGAGCGCCAGGGCATCGGGTCGTTCAAGCGGCTGCTGCGCCAGCCAGACGTCGTCGCCGTCATCCGCGCCCACGACAAGAAGCTCAAGCGGTTGTTTGCGTTTCACGCGAGCGAAAAACGCGGCAAATTCATGACCCTAGCCGAGTTCGAGGGCTGGCTCAAGGAGCAGCGCCTCATCGACGCCTTGTTCCCGTTCCCCAAGATCAAGCAGCTGTTCTACGCTGTCCAGCAAGACACGTCCGACAGCGAAGGGGACCTGGAGCTCATTTTCGCAGAGTTCGTCGAAGCCCTTGCCGCCGTCGCCGTGTACCGCAACCCAAATCCGTACCTGTCACTGTCCAGTCGACTGGAAGCGTTCTTGGGCGACAATTTATAACGTTGAAGTAGTAGTACAAGCTCAATCATTCATGCATTGGCATGTACTAAAATCATGATGCTATCTATGTATCATGAAGGAGCAGCAGGGGCGAGGTAGTCGAGCGAGCGGTTGTCAGTTGTCTGTGCTATCGTTGAGAATATATGTGTGCATTGAGCAGGAATTGATTTGCGACTGGCTACCCTGCGTAACGGTGTACATAGGAGAAAGCTGAGAACTGGCATGACCACCAGAACGTGGTCATGTGTGTATACCACAGGGCTTTCCGAACCCCTACTCAGCATCACATTGCTACGCAATGAAGAGCACTCCTAGGGAGTTGAACTACAGTACTACCCCTCGACCCCTTCGACTGTTGTTATTCAAGCAATATGCGACAGGATGTCTTGATTCTATTAACTCTTTGGACAGTATATGCACTGCCTCCTACTGGGCGCGTCCAACCTCCATGATCTTGCAGTCAATGGCGAGCTCTGGGCCAAGTGCCACCGACGGCGTCAAGTGCCGATCCGTCTCGACTTCGCCGCCTTGAGCAAAACTCCCGGGCCAGAAGTAGCTCGGCGGCACGTTCGTGTGTACCCACCCGAGGTGCTGCAGCGCGGCAGCCACTAGTTCCGAGCAGAAGTAGTGGCTCGTCTTCTCCTTGTCGTCCACTTTCGACCGGTTCAGAATCCCCACAATGCTGTACTTGTTGCCGTTCACGTCCAACACAAACTGCTGCAGCTTGGTCAACGTCTCGGGCGTCCGGCGCGCCAGCACCCGCCGCGCCACGATCGCATTCGTCACTTCACGACCATACGCCAGCAGTCTCGTTTTCTATTCCCAAAAAACAACGAATAAATACATGAGTAGTAATAGTACTACTAGTAGTAGTAGTAGCCCCAAGGAACAAGACCAGCATGCCGACAATACTTCCCCAAGCTGTTTCACAACACCCTCCAGACACCAAATGTAGAGTGGTGTGATTAGGGACAGAATGCTTACGAGGGGATACACTTGAATGCCTTCGCCCGTGGACTCTAGCATGGACAGTAGCCCCGGCACCGACCCCGGCACGACGATGGCTGCGTGGTCATACCTTGCGCCTGTCAACTATACAGGTGCAAAAATAAATTCCATGAAACACTAGATGACATGCTGGAGAATGAGAGCCGACGACTGGCGCTAGTAGACAGGACACCTCGAGATGTGGACAAGTAATTTTGTACCTTTCTCTGCACTTTGGACGTCCCAAAGCGTGTTTTGAAGAGCAGAACGTCGCCATACTCCAACGCGGTGTGCACAGCTGACACATGCAGCACACTCCTACTGTCACTCGGATGCATCTCGGCATTTCTAGATGTCGACACCACTACGTCACACATCCACAACATGAGCATAGTTGACTAGAACAAGGATAAGCAACATCCTAGACACAAACAGATTATGACTTGCGATCGAATCACCAAGTCCAGTGGAAAACAGGTGCTTTGATATTATTGCGTCGTGCCATCAGTCCCATTCAAGTATATATGTATATATATATCGGCACACATTCGATCAACCAATCAAAACCCAGAACAACAATCAAGTGACCAATCAAAAGCCTGAAACCATCGAAATAGTGTATGCCTTCAATTCATGTGAAACCCGTCATCGTTTTTGAAGACTACATTTACAGAACAAGCAATCCTCAAATCGAGATGGATTGGGCTTCTATCAGTACGTATACACACACGCTAATTGTGGCTGCAAGGACAATAATATATATATACTAGTATACAGTCAGTTCAACCAAGAGCTGTTCAAACCTACAACACGATGACGAATAAACTAGCTACTCTACGATACCATACTTCCAAGGAAAACCATGACCCGGACGTCTTGGGCCAACTGGGGCAGAGCGACCATGTCCTGCAGATATGCTTCCAGGCGCTGCTGACGCTTGGCCACGAACGCGCCCTTTTTGGGCGTGAGGGCGCGGCGGGGCGGCAGCGGCGGCAGGTACATCTTGAACGGGCTCTCCGCCTCTCGGAGGACATCGTCATGGAGGGCGTAAAACTGCTTGTATCGGCGGTCCACAGTCCACGTGAGTCCGTTGCATTCGACTTGGATTTTGTATACCTACCATATATATCAAAACCCCCACCGAGGGCAGCATTGACATGATATCGCACCCAAAACGATAACTATATTGTACATTCATACGAGTCGGGTAATCAATTACTAGTATATGATTATTTATACGACTTTTAGTACTGACAGAGAGTTCCCTTTTCACATGGGAGGTTGCGAGAATAATATTTGCAAACTATAAATATTGGTGTGACCTCTGGAGGCTAGGATATTGGAATGAGAATTATTAACGGAATATCATGTACTTCGAAGTGGTAGTAGGTACAAATTGCACAGTTTACACTCTTTTCTGTCCGAAAGCAGTACAAATTCGACGACGACGTACGATTTCCATATTTATATATGTCAGATGGGGTCGCCAAAAAATATATTTTAATATTTCTGAAATGGTGCGAAAATTGGGGTTTTCTGACACTTTTGTTTTGTGGCAACCAGAGTGGCCCTTTAAAAATACAATATACAGTATATATATACATATATATATATATCCACCGATATGCTTGGAGGACAAGGTCGTACAGTGTATTCCTTTTGGGACAAGTCGCTAACTTTGGTGAGCGTGGACACAATCGACACGACGAGTGGCGGCGGCGGCATGCTCTGAATGAGCCGGACTTCGACGCACACGACCGACGACGTCGCCGTGTCCAAGCGCTGGTCTAGGTAGTGCCGCATCTTTTTATGTTCATTACGTAGCCAAATGTCTACGGTGTCACAGAAACTGTGACAAAAAGGGGACATTTGGAGATGGACAACCTCGAACGGCGTCGGGTATCGCTAGCACAAAGTGGCCGCTGTCTTCTGTCGGCAGCATCGCCACCATGCCGCTGCGGCTTGGCTATTTGTATTTATATAAATATATATTTCGTCGTGTTGGTGGCAATATATATATATATATATATATGTATTTATATAAATATATATTTCGTCGTGTTGGTGGCAATATATATATATATATATATATATGTATTTATATAAATATATATTTCGTCGTGTTGGTGGCAATATATATATATATATTTGTATTTATATAAATATATATTTCGTCGTGTTGGTGGCAATTTATATATATATATATATATATATATATATATATATATATATATATATATTTGTAAACAATAACCAGACTTGGAAAGCAACAACGAGCACGTACGAGATCAGGATAGTCAGTGTCGATTTTGCGCTTGAGTTTATGAAGGATGTCCCGCTTGCACGCGGACACGGGCATTGCATTGAGCGCGGCGGCGTCGTACGGTAGCGCCATGATCATCCTATGTCAAATCACGTGTACTAGTCGAGATGGATATGTGTATGTACCTGCTTCCGTTGGGCAGGTTGATGTAGCCGTGGAGAATGGTAAAGGTTCCTGCGTTCGAACGACTCATCTACATGCACACACACATAACAGCAAGATGAATCCCGTAAGGATACAGTACTCCCGAGGTTGGGAACCATGGGGTCGGTACCGGTTCGCGAAGAGGCGACTTGACGGGGGAATTGGCCGCCGAGACGATCGTACGTTCGTCACTGTCGTCGTCGTCATCATCTTCGTCATCGTCGCTGCCGTAGGACGATGCGCTGTCGTCGAACCGAACAAACGGACTGCTCGTACGCGCAGTGGACGACGACGAAGACGCAACGTTGTGCGCTTGTTGGAACAGCATGCGGCCGTTGGAAGCGAGGCAAATGCGCTTCGCGTCTGTGATACATCGCACCCAGGCATCGCATTCCTGGACGGATGGTGCTTGGAAGACCAAGCGGGTGCCACCGGTCGTCGTAACGGCGAACTCGACGTTGGTGTCGCTGGTCGAGGTCTTGGCAACCGCTTGAATCGACGGCACATCGAACACTTTCGAGTTGTTGTGGTCAACGGCGCGGTCCGAGTACATCTTCATCCAGCATCGCTGCCATGGAGAGCCATCACCGGCGGGGTGCTTGCGCAGCAGTTCTCCGCGCCGCAGCACCAGTGCGGCCATGTTTTTGCCGTTACTCGAAAACCCACAGAATTGCACCTTGCAGTGGGAATTATTTAATCGGTTTCAAATGCCATCACCAAACATAGTGAACCCAAGTGTTGTGGTAGTGGCACCATTAAAATATATACGACCGGTGTCGGCGTCCTAACCATGAACTACGGCGACACCAGTGGCAACCACGTGCCAATGCAGCACCAGTCGCATCAACAGCACCAACAACAGCAACAACAGCAGCACCATCAGCAGCAGCAGCAGCATGTGGGGCATCTGCACCACCAGCAACAAGAGGCGCCGCCTTCGGCACCGCAGCAACCCGGCCCGCCCGCCGCGAACAACGCGTCCGTCCGCAAACTCCTGCGGCAGACGCTCGGCGAGCAGCTGGAGTTCGCTGGGTCCACGCAGCAAGTGCGCGCGTTCGTGTCGTCCGTCGATAACTTCTTCCAGTCCACGGAGAGCTTGGCGTCACTGGGCAAGTCGTTGTATTCGAGTCGGGCGGTCGTGTTTGTCGTGGACAAGTCCATGCGCGTCATCTTGTGGAACGACTGCGCCGTCGAGCTCACGGGACTCTCCCGGGAAGAAGTGGCCGGACGCAACTTCCTCGACCTCCCCGGACTCGTGTCGCTTGGCACCACGGCGGTCCTCGAACGTGCGCTGCAGGCCTGTGTTGATCCGACTAAAGGCAAGGTGCAGGCGCTGGAGCTGCAGCTGTTCCGCAAGGATGGACGGGAGCTTCGCCTCCTCTGCGAATGCTCGGCGCTGCTCGGCAACCCCGCCGGCGCCGGCATGCTGGTCGTGGCGCAGGACCTGCTGGCCTTCCAAGGCACGCTGGCGCAGCGGGAACTCGCCGCTGTCGCAGAGACCCCCGCGCAGCTGCCGTCGTCACAGCCGTCCGCGAGCCATGCCAACGGTCCGTTGCACCTATGTTTTCTGATGTAATTCACCGACTTTGTTGTCTGGAACCGTAGCACCCGCGCCGTTTGCGTCTGTGGATGCCGTCGCCGCGCCACAACAACCGCCTCCACATCCACGACATGCTTCGAAATCCGTCGCCAACTTGTCTGGATGGGATGAAGTCAAGCCGGCATACCAGCTGGAAACGGTGCTCGGTCAAGGCAGCTACGGCCAAGTTGTCCGATGCAAGCACTTGGTAAGTCATTCTAACTGCATTACACTGTGTCTATCATGACCAACCACCCCCTTTGGTCATGTACGTGCTTAGGCATCAGGGGAAATCGTCGCAATCAAGAAGATTCAAAATGTATTTGCAGACCCCATCGATGCCAAGCGTATTCTGCGGGAGCTGTGCATCTTGCGCCAGCTCAACCACCGCAACATCGTCCAGGTACATAGATATATCATCCTTACCCCTACGATGTATGTTTGCATATGCAGCACGATCACAACAATTGATTGCTCATGCTGCCTGCTCGAATATGACCTTTCCTTGTCGTGAATCGGAAGAATTGAAATCCTGTTATTTGGAAATATTCAATGTATTTCACGAATAATAATACCTATTTCAATCGATCAAACGAATTGTTTTTATAATGAAATGATTATATTTTTTGAATCAATCGATCCATAATGAATGGATTTCATGCATAATAATTGTAGATATTACTACTCTATATTTCAATCGATCAACCCAATTGATTCGATGAATAATAATCATAGTAGAAATTACTATATATTCAATCTCGATCAACTGTATATTGCATCATATAATCGCTCGTTTTCACTCTAGATCAAGGAAATTGTGTGCCCGCAAGACATGCTGCGGTTCCAAAATATCTTTGTCGTGTTCGAATACTTGCCGTCCGACTTGGAAAAATTACTCCACTCGCCGCAGTTCCTCACGGCCGAGCACATTCGATGGCTGCTCTTGGACCTGCTTAAAGCGCTCAAATACATGCACTCGGCGTCGATTGTCCACAGGGACCTCAAGCCGGCCAACGTTCTGCTCAACCTGTCGCCCGTGGCCATCAAAATCTGCGACTACGGCCTCGCCCGGACTCTAACCCACTCGCAGCTGAGCCATCCATCCACGAAACGCAAGCGCGGCGCGACCTCTCCAACGGCTGCCACGTCATCGAAAGGCGGGGGCAAAAAGATACAGCGCCAACTCACGGAACACGTGGTCACGCGGTGGTATCGGGCGCCCGAGATCATCTTTCGGGACCACGACTACTCGACTGGCATCGACGTGTGGAGTGTCGGGTGTATCTTTGCCGAGCTCTTGAGCATGCAGAAGAGCAGCGTGCCGTCGCATTTCGCGCGGGAGCCGCTGTTTCCGGGTGTGTCATGCTTTCCGCTGAGTCCGGGCGCCGGCCAGCGCGCGTTGCCCCAGGATAGCCAGGACCAGCTCAACACGATTCTGCGCGTGCTCGGCTCCATGGCGGACGACGACATTGCCGAGATCGCCGATCCGGATGTCCGGTTCTACCTCCGGAACCTCCCGCCCCAGCCGCGCAAGTCGTTTGCCGACATGTACCCCGGCGCTGAGACGGAAGCCATCGACTTGCTGCATCGCATGCTCCAAATGAACCCGCGGAAGCGCATGACGGTGGACGACGCGCTCAGTCATCCGTACTTGGCGAGTATCCGGACCATCGAAGACGTGGATGACGACATCGTGGCGCCGCACCCGATTCAACTCGACTTTGACGACGTCCGTGGCCCCCTCCCGATCCACGAGATTCGGCGGCTCATGACCAGCGAAATCGCCTACTATCACCCGCATGTGCTCCAGCATGTGCAAGCGGCCATCCCGCCGCGGCCCCCGCAGCACCGAAAACTCAACCAATCCACGTCGTAGCCCCTCTTTGGATAACGAATCTATTGGTAGAAGAAGCAAGCCATGACGAGGCTCATATGTATATATATGTATATATATACTGCCACAAAGGTTGGTCGGTCTTGGTCGTTGGAGTACAATAGCACTTGGGGGGCCAGTAATATATATATATATATATCCAATGTCATTTGTGTGTGAACTACAATGCAACGGCTTGGGCAAATCTGTCGCCACTACAAGGGCAGGGCAGCCAGCCATACACGTTGCTGTATTTATTTACTCAATGATAGTATGTGATCGTTGAAGGGTGGTGGTCAAAGCAGTCGTTGCTGGCTATGTAGGCAGTTCGTAGTAGTGTGGTATATTCGAATATTCGATACGAATTTCTAGACCCCGTCGAATCGAATAATCTCGCCGCTGAATCAAATCACGAATCGACGCTATTGGCTAATCCATTTTTGAGTGGATTTGATTGGCTCTTGCAGAAACGACAAGTATATTCAACCAATCACCGAACTCCAGCGTGATTCAATATTGATTCGACAAATCAGGCGAATTTTATAGCGAATTTTCAATACTTACAGCTTACATGAAGTTTATAGCGAATTTTCAATACTTCGCTTACGAACTTTCGAGCCACGGTGTACATACCGTATACTACAGGACATCGTGTCCAGGTAGGTTAAATTGTAACGATCTGCCATCTTGAAAGGCATTCTCGTTAGGATGGATGTATGTATGCATTGTTTGTTTCAAGTATTTCAATCTTTTCACGCAATCCAACTCAAGTGGACGGCCATGGTCGTCACTGACGCACTAAGACAGACGTGGGCGAGCGCATTGTGGTTGAAATGGCGCCGGGAGGGGCTGACTTTGGCCGCTTGGACGAGGCCGCCGACGAGGACGAACATCAGGACGAGGAGCTCAAACAGCCAGCCGCGGTCAAAGGCGGCGACGGCGGCAATGGACCCAAAGCACAGCGGAGGGAGAAACCCAGCCAGCATCACGGACGTGTGCATGGTGGCGAATGCGATTGCTGCCACGACCACGTATGCAGTGCCGGCGACGGTGATAATCCACTGGGACCAGTGTGGGTTCAGGTGTCGAGAGGCGGCCGCGGCCACGAGCGCAAAGTTGGCCAGCGTCGTCAACCCCAGAACGCACCGCCACATCCATCGAATGCATCGATCCACGCTGGGCTGCGTCATGTGAAGTCCAAACACACGGCGGCGGAGTTGGCTCGCGTCGGCAGGAAAGCGCGTCTGGGCTTTGTACGCCACATGATGGAGCACGCCGCCGAGAGTGGCGGTCGCTCCCATCGCAACTAGGTACACGGCGTACCAAAACATGTCTTGCCGCGAAAACGACGACATGTACAACATGCAACCGAATGACGCAAAGCATTGGATGCCCAGGACATAGTCGGTGATCCAGCATGCGGGCTGCGAGTCCCACGAGTCTCCTCGCGTGGCCCAATACACCCATGGCGAGTCCTCATTATCATCTAGAGCAATGGGGCTACTGGGAGGGGCAGTGCCCGGAGCATCCTCGTCGCTGCGGCGGCGGCGGTGGTGGTCCACGACTGTCATTTGAACTGTTCACGACACCACAAATGTGAAACTGTCGCCAGTTGACGTAATCCGACGTTAAAGTCACCCAACGGCGTGTACAAGAGCTTAAACACGGTTTTTATGTATAAAACGTGAAAAAACAACAACGAGTTTCATTCCACTTGTTCGGGTGTCCGCATGTAGAAATGCATGATCATGGCCGTGGCGGAAGCGCTGAGAAGGACATGTGCGAGGGCATTGTGGTTAAAGTGCTTGTGGGATGGAGCAGCTTCCGCGGCTTGGACGAGGCCGCCCGCCAAGATGAAGAGCAGAACGAGCAGTTCCAGGAGCCAGCCGTCGCTGAGGCTCGCGACGGCCGAGATGCCTCCAAAAAACATCGGCGGGAGAAACCCCAGGAGCATGATGGACGTCTGCATCTTTACAAACGCGGCGGCACCGACAAACGAGTACCCGACGCCAGCAATCCAAATCGTGAGTTCTGACAGATGGAGGCTGAGGTAGCGGGAAGCCGGGGCGGCCACAAGCGCGAAGTTCGTTAGCGTCGTAAAGCCTAGACAAAAGCGCCACACCCACGCAAGGCATGTATCCACGGTGGACTGCTGAAGGTACACTCCAAACACACGTTTGGACGTCTTGGCCGGATCGAGGTTAAACTTCTTCATAGCCTTGAAGGCCATGTGGTGGAGGAAACCGCCGAGACTCGCGGTCGTGCCCATCGCGACAAAGTAGACCATGTACCACATCGAATCGGTTCGATTGGAGGACGAGTACACGACAGCAGCCGTCGAAATGAAGCACTGGACGGCAAGGACGTAATCCGTAATCCAGCACGCCGGTTGGCAGTCCCATGTTTCACCACCCATGTTGAGGTATGCCCAATCAAGGGCGTTGTCCACCTTCTGCTGGTTGGTGGTGGTCGTCGTCCCAGTCGGCTGCGAGGCCTCGGCGGCGGCGGGGCTCTTGTGGCGCTCTCGGACCTCCGCCATCGTTTCTTTGCTACGGGTGATGTCACAATATGATGATGGGATTCAGAGAGATGTGTCTCATGTTTTTTTATGTGGTGTTTGAAAAGACATACAAATACCTTGCTTAGTGTCCAAACAATTTAAAAATAGAACTTTTGCGTGCGAGTTGCCAGCTTTTACATCACCTCAAATAATATTCTGGTACCGTTCCTCAAATTAGGTGTCAAAATACCTAAAATAACGTGATCGACCATTGATCGGCCAAATGACCATCGATCGGCCAAGGTGTTTCGTCCAATTGAAATTAATACGATGTTTCATTGGACAAAATAAATCCTTGTGATAAGTTTTACCTGTATAATATGATGGAGGTAAACAATTTAACGTTGAACACTACTTGCAGCTCTTACTCTGAATACGTATACCTGTTGAAATTTAGTAAACCTTTGAGACATAGTCTTTGAATTTTTGGAGCGAAAAATTGACCCAACTTTTTTCAATACTTAATTCAAGTGTAAATTTTGGCCGATCAATGGTCGCCTTTGTAAAGTGCCGAACTTTGACATTTTTTTGGCCTGCCAAGTATTGTTTAAATTGATACATTTGAATATGCCGCGAAAGAGCTTTCCGTCAGCTTTCCGGAAATGTTGGTTTCAATGAAATGCCATGAAAACCAATTGAGATATTTTAGTTTGAAAATTTTGAAAATTTCGCTGATCAATGGTCGATCGATCACGTGTACCAGGTTTATGGGTTATTATACGTATAGGACGTGTGTATTACTTTGTCATCCAATCAAAACCTCAATCCAATTTCATTGGCCAAAATCAAACCGCTATAAAACCCATACCTGTATGAATGCATGTAAGGTATCATCCTAATATTGGAGTTTAAAATAACTACTATACATGAAATCTGTTCAAATTCAATAAACCGCTATAATAGGGTAAATGTACATGTCATCCAATCAAAACCTCAATACATTTTCATTGGCCAAAATCAAACCGCTATAAAACACATACCTGTATGAATGCATGACAGGTATCCCAATATTGGAGTCTAAAATAACTGCTAGCGTTATACATGAAATTCTATACTTACTGTTATTAATAGTAGTAATAGGGTAAATGTAGCTCAAGGTGTAAAGTGTCAACTTCAAAAATTGATTGTGCAATCACAAATCGATGCTACTTTTTGGGTTGATTTGATTGTGCAATCACAAATCGATGCTACTTTTTGGGTTGATTTGATTGTGCAATCACAAATCGATGCTACTTTTTGGGTTTATGCCTGAATGAGCGAATCGTTCTTTACCTATCCAAAAATCTATAAGTTAACGTTAAAAAATCTATGTTCACTGAACAAAACGAAAACATTCGAAACTGAACTGTCAAGCAAAACTCGAAGACCCTGGGTACAGCAGTACAGTAAGTTTACATCTGATTCCACAGTACTGTACTATCGGTAATACCAGTACCGGTACTGTACAGCAGAAACGGCGGTCATTGCTGGGGCGATAGATTCGAAGCAAGATTCTCATCCAATCTTGAGAACAAAATCCTATTAACGGGTTGCACGTACTAGTACTGGGCTATGGCCTACACTAGACGCGGAACCCAGACGCTGGTAACAGGTCGATGCCTTTGGCTTTGAGGGCTTGCTTGAGCGGGAACGTGTTCGCCATGCCCTTCTTCTCGGCGTCGTCCAGCACATGTGCGGCGTATTGCTTGTAGAGTTCTTGGTCCATCGAGTGCCCATTCTTGATCGTTTCCTCGGCCAATATCTGCGCCGCGCGGTCCTCCTAGATATACACCCCGCGGCGTTCACACCCCTCGTAACCATGAATACATGATATCTGTACCATGTCGATGGTGCGCTTCGCATCAGCCTGTTGTCGCTGCAACGCCGCCAAGCGGATATTGTCCAGTCGTTTGTCCTGTTCTTCCTTGACGATTGACTGCTCCACGCGCTGGTTGTAGCCAGCCCACTTGAGCGACTGTTCCTTGGCTATCTCGAGGTCGTCGTGCTTGCGGCGCTCCTTCTCCTGCAGCTGCAAGCTACGGCTGTGGTTAATGGCATCCTTCTGCGACGCCCGCCGCTCCGCGCGGCACTTCAACACATTGTCTTCTTTCTGTCGGACCTCCTTCTTCTGGCTTTCGAGGCGGGCTTCGGACTTGGCCTCAAACCGCAGCAAATTTTCTGTCGCCTACATACATTTCGTCAGGTGGCCAACATTCTGGTTTTCGTGGAATGTTGTTTCGCACCAAGTCGACCATTCGCATCTTTTGGGCGGCTTTCTTCTCGTCCCGCTGCCGCTGCAACTCGTCGCGCTTCAGCGTTCGCTCCTCCTTCTTGCGCGCATCTTCCTGCCGTTTGACCTCCTCGGCCACTTCCTTCTCCGCCTCCTGCTTCCGCAGAAGGTTGAGGCGCTCGTTCGCGAGCCGCATATCCTCGTTGGCCTGCTTCACCCGTCGCTTGCGTGCAAGCTCCGACTCTTCTTCGTCGCGGGCGTCCTGTTCCGCCTTGGCCTTGATGCGCTCACCGTCCCGCATCTCTTCACGCAGCGTGGCAATATGCGAGTTCTTATACTCCTCCAGTTGCTTCTGCTGCATGACAACGAGCTCTTTGTGTTTCCGCTCACGCACCTTGCGTTCGTCGTCGGCCTTCTTGTCTGCGTCGCGCAGTTGTGTCATGAGCACCCCTGTCCAGCCGTCTTCGACCTTCTGATCCATCGCCTTGAACTCATTCTTCTCACCAATCTGGTACTCTCGGTCCTGTAGCACATCCGCTAGCAATTCCTTGCTGCGCAACGTTTTCATACGGTCTGTCTGTTCGTACAGCAGCCTATTCGCGCGCTCGATTTGCTTTGTCCTGTACTCCTTCTGCAGCCGGAGCTCTTCCTCGTCGATCTTGAGACGCTCGGCTTCTTCGCGCTCTTCTTTGTCCTTCTTCCAGTTTTCCTTCTTGCGCCGCATGGCTTCCAGCGTGTTGGGCCATTTCCCTGTCCGTTGAGTCGACAGTTCCTTCAGGTGCTGCCGTTTCGCTTCGTGATTCGACTGAACGGGGTCTGAGATGCTCTGTCGAATGCGATCCAATTCGCTCTCGTTCAAGTTCACCGGCATGTCAAGCGGCGGCGGTTGATGTTCCCTACGATGGTCTCGTCTTGATATAGCCAAAAATAGGTCGAAACGGGCAGTTACGACACCGGATAAAACAACCGGATACTTCGACCAATCAAAACATCCAAATACAAATGTACAACTTCAACTTGAAGTAGTTAGTTGTACACACGACCGCTCAACTCGACTTCAGCACACTGACATGGCATAACCATGCATTGAACAGGACAACTCTACTTGCTCACAAGCCCACTGGGCCAGACAATTCTCTTGCATTGTAGTTTGATTTTGATGACCGGGTAGTGTAACCGACGACATAAGCCGTTACGTGTATCACACCTGCCTCGGCTAATGCAGGACGATGATGCTCTTCGGCGGCAACTTGTCCGGTGTTAAGCCCGTAGGGCAACAAGAAAAGCCTAAAGTCACGAGCCTCGGCAGCTCTGACGCTCCAGCGGCAGTTCCGATGCTGCCACCGCCAATCGAAATCACGCCCCACTCCGACCTCATTAACCGCCTGACGTGCCAAGAACAGCGTCTATTGGACGAGTTGGAACGAACACGATCGAAACTCACCCAGGAATGGCAGCTCAAGGCAGACGACATGCGCGACAAAGGGCTGGCTGTGGACCTCCAACTGCCACTGAACAAACTTGCACGAAAGCAAAGTAGCTCGAAACGAGGGTCGCGTAACCAGGAGGACCAGCTGCAGCAGCCCAAATTCCCCCGACACAAGACGTCGTCGTCCCTTCGACGGCGTCGCAACGAGTCCCAATCCACCGGTAGTTTGCCTACTCAACGGCCGTCGCAGCCGCCGCTGCCCGTGACGGTCCTACGTCAATCGTTCGACATGCTGCCAATTTTGACGACCTCGGGGGAAACCCCGTTTGAAGTCGGGCTCGACCACGGCGTACACGTCCTCCCAGTCTTCCGACTCCCACCAGTGACGACCAAATTGCACTGGACGGGTTCGGGGGAATCGGCTGGGGGGACGGAGGGGCGACGAGCGAGCGCGATGACCGCAATAACAGTGCCCACGGAGCCTTCGCCGACATCGGGTATGACTGCTAGTGACAAAGAAGAGGCTATGCGGGTGCTCGGTCTCAGCAGCGAAGAGATCGACATGATCGAGTTGACCAACAGTGGATTGACCACTACCACGACGACTAAGTCCCCCACATCCCCCGTAGCTTCATCACCACTACCACCGAAAGCGACCATCAAAGTCAAAAGGACCAAAGCATCGATGACTAAAAATCTCAACCCTCAACACACTGACTCGATGCGGCTCGAATTGCACCAGGCGTTGCGAAACGTACAAACGTACACGACTCTGGTCAAGCAAGACATTGCCCACGTCCAGAAGATCTGTCCAGTGCACACCATCCGCGGCAATCGGTTCGTTCAAAAGTGGGGCCTCGACAAGCTTAACGCCGTGTGCACGCAGTTGCTGTACGCGCGCATCTTTGCGGCGTTCGACCGGTGCGTGTATGCCGTGGAAGATTGATTTCGTGGCTTTATCAACGTATATATCGATACATTAAACCCTATGAAACTCACATAACTCAACGCGTTTTGATCGACTGCTTTAGGTGGCGGTTTGTATCGACGTGGATGAAACAGCAAGAAGCGCGGCAAGCACTCATGCATTTCAAAGGCACCAAGAAACTCGATCTGTACTTTCGCAATTGGACAAAGGTATATGTGTCAACAAATATAACATTAGCCATAGGCTTCATTTGGTCTCGGTGTGTAGAGGCGGATGGCGGCAGCGTGGACGCAGTGGATGTCGCTCCTTGTCGCCGAACAAGCCGCGTATCAAGCAGCGCTGGAGCTAGAGGCCACCAACACCCTTCAACGCTCGTGGCGGTATGTACTATCCATATGGCACTAGATCGATATCTTAATCTGCTCATACGAATCGAATGGTTCATATAATATTGACCGCGTGGTTGTTTAATTGAAGTGCCTTCGTGAAGCGGCGCATGTACACATTCATTCGATCGCAACAACGGCAAAAGCACCGCCATGATGCTGCGTGTACGATCCAAGCGCTGTGTCGCGGCCGGTTTGCCAAGCACGCGGCCAAGACCCTTATGCGCGACATCCGCCAAGGTCGAGCTGCGACGGTCATTCAAGCGAGAATACGCGGCGTCCTCACGCGCGAGTCCGTCGTGGAGGCGAAGCGCTTGCAACGACAGGCACATGCCGCACGGTCGCTGCAGGCCATGTATCGAGGACGCCTGGCACGACGGCGAATGGCGCTGCTCAAACAAGCCAACCAGCGACGTAAAGCCGCCACGGTCATCCAGAGGCGGTACCGTGGTAGGCTGCACAATGCCAAGCAGATCCGTCAAATGATTGACCGGGAGCGGCGCCGCCAAGCCGTGAAAATACAGGTACATAGCCCCCCCCCCCGTTGCAATAAATGGGTGAATATGGACGGATGATGATGGTAGGCGCTGGTGCGTGGGGTGCACGGACGAGCCGAGGTGGTGAGGGTCAAGGAGCGTCGTGCCAAACATGTGCAAAAGCAGCATCGGTCGGCCGTCCGCATCCAAGCCGTGTACCGCGGCCATCGAAGCCGCATCGGGACGTCCATCCAGTTGGCGTCGCAGCGAGAGGCCCTCCGGCAACGGACCGAAGCCGCGACGACCATTCAAACGTTGTTCCGAGGTCGGAAAGCCAAACATACGGTGCTGGCCCACAAGGTGGCCCGGATGAACGACATGGTGGCCAACGCCCGGGTGTGGGGGCAATTCTGGAGCGACGACGCGAACGCCTTCTTCTTCTATCACTCGCAGGTACCAAACAACAATGTGATTCTTATGTCCTTAACGTGGTCACTCGTAGACCGGGGAAGCTATTTGGGAGCCCCCCGAGGACGGATACACCAAGGTGGACGGGCAGTTGGTGCTCCGCGATGGGTCGGTGATTCCCGATCCGGCGCTGGCTGTGCGAGTAGACGATGGCACTACAGGGGGGGACAAGCCTTTGGACGGATACGAGGAAACAGACGACGCCAAGTGCGTCGAGTGCGACGAGAACGACGCGACGCGGCGGTGCGCGCAATGCGAAGATGTGTTTTGCGACGCCTGCTACGACAAGACGCATAGCAGCGGCAAGCGCGCACAGCACACTTGGAAGGCCATGGGGCCCATCAAGTGTGTCGAGTGCGAGAAGATGAAGGCCTCGAGGTGGTGCGACCAGTGCTTGGATCCGTACTGCCTCGGGTGCTTTGCGATTATTCATGCCAAGGGCAACAAGGCGCTCCACACGTGGAAAGACATGCCCAAAATGAACGGATCGATCGGCCCGTTAGAAGACGCGCAAACGTACGACGAGTTTGTCGCGTCCAACGAGTACAACTATATCAACGAAGGCATTGCACACCAAGATGACGGCGGCGGCTACGAGGAAGGGTATGCCGATTATGACGCCGAGGCGGCGGAAGGGTATTATGGCCAAGACAACCATGAGACGGGCGATCATGATGATGGGGGTCAAGGAGGGGGGGAAGGGGTGTCCGATTGGGTGGCAGCCGTGGACGACGTATCTGGAGAACTGTACTACTACAACAACGTCACGGGTGAGACGCAGTGGGCGCAATAACATGAAGAAATGTTGTGCAAACCTGTGACATGGACCTTGTTATCAATCACTACGCGGCAGCAGCACCTGTTCCTGCATCATCCTCAATTCCATGGCATCGAGTGATGATGAATCGGGCACTCGTTAGAATGAGCAAAGGTTGCCAATCGTCGCACTGCGGCAACCCATTGAATGGATCTCAACCTCCTTCCAATTACCGACGGCCGGCTACTGTCACCCATCACAGCATTCACATTTCTAAAGAAGCGTCGTGCTTTATTCATGAGGCAAGAAGTAACACGTAAGTACTTCGTTAGAGGCAGAGTTGGTTGGAGCGTAGAAAGGATAGATTAGCATTACATAGTCCACCGTCGGTTCGTCGTGACGACCGACTGCATGAGCCGAACGAGAATGCCTGCCCATAGGCCGAATGCAGTCCGACGGATCGCAATGCATTGGTCACATGTCAATATGGTTTATTATACACCAAGGTTATGGAGTAGGTAACGTTAGGACTGATTACCGGTAGTGTCGATGAAGGGAAACCGTATAATTCCCTGCATCAATGCCGAAGTCAATGTGGCGGCCACGTCATGGAATCCATCATGTGGACGTTTCATATGTCATCATTTAAATACACTATTTCAAAGCAAGCATTATATACTATATATGTAACGTACCCATTCTCGATTAACAATTGATATCTTTGAACCGGATAAAATAGTCATATCCATAGACCACCCGATGAAATAATCAATGCTCACACCGGGCCGCCATCAATGTGAGCAATCTAAGGCGGCAGTCCAACTTTTCACCGACACAGAGTGATGAGAGTCGCTTCTCCGGACATGAGTCAGTCGCCCACGATTACCACTGTGATGTACGATGGTGACTTTCACGACGTGCTCTCGTCAAAGCATGCGAGTCATGACACAACTCAGACACCTCTCCGTAACCCACCCTGAACGTCCACAGAGGAGCTAATGGTGGCATGGAACCCTTGCTCCAACTCTTCTGCTTCGCCAACTCCATGGACGTATTTCTTATGACCGTGGGCGCTCTGTCAGCGTTTGCGACAGGCGCCGCCATCCCGCTCCCCATTCTCTTGATTGGGAACGGCGTGTCGGCACTCAATCCCACTGAGGTTTGTACCTCGCACCATGCTCCATCGACTCTTTCTCATCCACGAACTGTGCTGTCGTTCATGTAGGGTGGACATAGTCTCTTGGCCCAAGTAACGTACATATCGCTGAAACTCGTGTGGATGGGGATCGGCGCCACCGTCACGGGGGGTTCCTTCAAGTCATGTGCTGGTCCATCACGGCGTCGCGGCAGTCCCAACGCATGCGACAAGCGTACGTCCGCGAGGTTTTAACCAATTAAGTCGCTTAGGCTTCGACGTCAACGACTCTGCAACATTCGCCACGACAGTCTCCAACACGTCTACACTCATCCAGGACGGTCTGGGTTGACAGGTGGTGACGCATGCACTTTCTTCACCATGGCCGTGGCAGGAGTCGCTGTGGGGATAGAAGCTAGGCGGGCGATCCTCAGGTTCACGCCCGTGATCGCCGTCGGCATATTCTTCATGATGTCAAATCCATCTCTGTGCAGCGCAGCGTCGTCGCAGAAGAGGCTCTGTCCAACATGCGCACAATCCACATATTCAACGCCGTGGCCGCGACCTCGGACAAGTACAGCATGGCCTTAATCGTGGCCGAAGCTGCTGACATTCGAAAGGGGCTCGTGGCGGTCGCTGCGTCGGCAGCAGTTGCTACGACGGCGGCGCCGGCTTGGTCTGGATCATCACAGGTGCCATGTCGATGGGGCAAGCGGGGCCGTGCATTGAAGCCATTGTCACGCTGCCGCCTGTACACGATCATCGACCGGCCGTCGTTGATCGATCCAATGGCCGCGGACGGACGGCACCATGTTGGGCGCGATCGAGTAGCTGCACGAAAAAGTTTCGATTCCATTATCCGTCGCAGCCTGCAAGTCGTCCAAGTGGGCCAGGGGTACATCCTTCGTATTGCGACGGGGGCGACGGGCGGTCCCAGCGGGCCCAAGTGCAAGCCGCCACCAAGATGGCCACTACGCGTTCGAGGACTGGACACGACTGTGGGTGAACGGGGGGGCGCAGTTGAGTGGTGGGCAGAAGCGGCGCATCACCCTCATCGTCCGCGTCATGATCAAGAACCCCGCGGTGCTGGTTGCTGCTCGACGAGGCCACGAGTGCACTGGAGAGTGGGCGCTTCGTCGAGACCAGTTTAGATGCCCCCTTGACGCTCAAGAACCGCACGACCGTCATCGTGGCCCCATCCATTCAACACACAGACTTCATCGCCGTGTACGCCGGCGGCGGCATCGTCGAGCTCGGCATGCGTGACCAACTCCTGCAGTTGCCGAGGGGTGGCGTTTACCGAACCCTTGTGTCCAAACAAATGTAGGCAACGACGACTAACGTTACAGCAACTCCTACACCATGGTAGTCCTGGAACTCTATATGAAAGAGCCATGGATCGTACATACCGACGTAACTACGGTATGCACTGGTTATCTACACACTCAAAGCCTACAGTGCTAGTATCCTCATGGAATCGCATTGGCGGAGTACGAATCTCTGCTTGTCGACACTTGTGAACGTGTGGTGATACTTGCTACTCGTTGGAATCTCACACTGACCACCCATTCATTCATTCTATGACGTTGCCAAACCATCGGAACTAGGGAGGAACCAGCCGGAGTCTCACAACCATCCATTTCAGTCAATCCATCCGTGTATTATTCATCCATCGTCGTCACTTTATTGAGCGCAAAATGACTCTACATCCCATCTGTCTGATGTGCACAAGATGATTTGTCGGGCGGCGGACGGCAGGCTTACGCGATGGGCGTGGCGTCGATCTGAGACACAAACGGCAACGTGGCATGGATGCGCTTGCGGTATTCAAAGTCCCTATATATATATATATCAACCAAAAATGAGATTATCATCGTTCATGGAAATGAAGAGATTGGTTTAGTAAACAACGACATTGCCCTTGAAAGCGTGGCAACATGATATATATGCAATGTGTGAAAACATGTCCGCTACGTTGAAACAAACGTACGAAGCCAGGGGGTTTCGCTCCAGATACAGCGTCTGCAACGACGTAGTGGACGTCAAGTGCACGAGATCGTCAAACGTTGCCACTTGGTTATCATTGAGCCACAGGTCTTCCAGCGACTGCAGCGACGCCATGTCTGGAATGCGCGGGATGCGGTTCGCTCCAAGGTCCAAGATCAACAGCTTCGACTACGATCCAATACATATATCAGGTACAATACGTGGCAAAACCACAGGATTGTACCAGGTGGCTAATGTTTTGAATGGCTGCGATGCCGTTGTGGCTCAAGTACACTTCCTGCAAGTTCGTGTTGGCGTCCAAGTTCTCAATCGACACGAGCCGATTGCTCTACCACAACATGAGCATATTCCCGCGTCGAAGGTGTGCAGGTAGAGTTCGTTACCTGGACGCTGATGATTTTGAGCTTTGCGAGGGCTTCGAGCCCCTATACCAAGTATGGAGGATTGAATGACATGTCCTTGGGTATATATAACACCATGCATGCTGCCATTGATGTGGGCAATGTACTAGATGAAGCGAACATGCAAACCTGGATCTGCGTGATCTTGTTCTTGCCAAGCCAGAGTTGCTCCAGGTCGTAAAGGTTGTCGAGTCCTTCGATGACACGGATGCGGTTGGCGCCGAGGTCGAGCTTCTTGAGCGTCGACAGCGCCGCGATGCCCGTGATGTGCGTGAGTTTGTTGTTGGCCACGTACAGTTCCTGCAGCTGGGTCAAGTGGCTGAGGTCGGGGATGACGCGGATCTCGTTGAACGACAGGTCCAGCACTGTAAACATCATCATGGCAGTCAAGGAAGTAGAACCATCACGTCAATCGAAACAAGACGCAAGGGAAAAAGGATATCGTAGGTTGACAAGGCGATCCAAGCTCGTCATTTTCTTGATCTGATTGTCATATAGCTCCAAGTGCACGAGGTTCACAAGGTGTTCGATGCCGGTCATCTTGTACAGCAGATTCGATCGTACTCGGAGTTCCTACCAGTTGAAGGGATTCATTCTTGGCGCTCGGATGGAATGGATGGTAACGTTACCTTGAGTTGGACCATGTTGTCGAGGCCGTTCAACACACGCGCCTTTAATCCAGCCGTGCCGACGTGGTAGATATCCTAATGAGAGACATGCAGGACCATAAGATGACGCGTAACTTGTCTCGAGTTGTTGCCGTGATGTACCTCCCAATCCGAGCCAAATTCAATGCAATCGGTCAGCTGCAGTTCCTTCACTTCTTCTTCTTCTCCTTCCGCATGGGTGTGTGCATCGTCACCATCATGACCGCATTCTGCTTTCTTCCTCTCGTCCTTCACAACTACCACACGCTGCTGCTTCGACGGTACCACGGACGAAGGCGACGGCGGCGGAGATGCGGTTCCTTCTTGTTGCATGATATTCGACCAGGATGCGATTCAACAATGACAACGTTAACGTTGTTGTATTGGGTATAAGTCCAATGATTATATCCAATCAAATGGCGTAGTTCGAATTCCAACAACGAGGTTCACATGGAACTCAAGAGGTTGACGGTGCTGGTGGAAGAGGCGGAAGCAGTGCTGGCGCGTCTCCGGCAAAGTCTAGATGAAGAGCATGATGCAGGGATCACATCAACAGAGCAGGATGAGAGACATATCCAGAGCATGGCGTTGTTACAACAGTTGACGGCGTCCCAACCCGACTTGGACGAGAAGATCCAAAAGTTCGTCGACAAGCTGGCTTGGCGGGACCCGATCACAAACGACCCTCGATATGGCCCTGCGATGCAGGAGAAGGTGTGTGCACCGCATGTCATCATCGTAACGCTACCATCACGATGCTGTCGACCTACCCATGGCTAGATTCTAGCAGTGGCAGGACGGATTTCGGCAGTGAAGGAGGCCGCGGCGGCCGCCACCGACATCATCGAGCCCAAAGCGTCCGTGGCATTACAAAACCAGCAGCTACGCAAGCAAGCCCAAGACGACTTGGATGCCGAATGCTTAAAGAAGGAGCAGGAACGAGCTTGCATCGAAGCACAACAGGTCATAGCCGCCCAAGAATTGCTGCAGAAGCAGCTCAAGGAAGCGGAGATTGCAGCGCAGATCGAACGAGAGGCTCTTGCCAAGGCGGCACAAGCTGTTCGGGACGAGCGCGCCCGTGTGCAAGCGGAGAAGGAGCGGCAGGACGCCGAGGCCCAACGGCAGCAGGACGAGCTGAACCAGAGCATTCCCGTCGGGCTGGCCGGCTTAGAGGTGGCACTAGGACTCCTCGGTCGCCATTTCCAGAGCGACGCAGCTACGTTCCGCGCAGCCAAGCGCACTCTGCTCGTCCTCCTCAAGAACATTTGCGCCGCGCCAGACAACGCAACCTTCCGACACATCAACGCCGCCAACGAGCATTTTCACCGCGAGTTGGGGCAGTTCCCAGGCGGACTTCAGTGCTTGCTAGCGCTGGGCTTCCGTCCGTTGCGGCAAGGCAGCACGTCGGACGACGGTGCACCTGCACCAGTTATTTACGTGTTGGAGGTACGAACTGTGCAGTGAATTGGTCACTAAAGCCAGGGAAACATTGTATACGTGGTGTGTATGCCTGGAGTGCTTGTGTTGGTAGGAACCCGACTTGGCACAGGATTTAGACGCGTGGAGCTGCTGGTTTGACACTCTGAAGCTAATGCGAGACTACGTCGAGACAGCTGCAACTTTGGGCTGACCTTCTTCTTCGTCTGTGATGCCGTTAAACCAGTAGGCACCGTAGTTTGCTAAGTGCAAATCAAGCTCGTGTATACAGTGTGCGATACGGTCTAGAATTGCCATAACGTTATACTACAACATAGTGAATCTTTATTCATTCATTTCTCTTGGTTAAATCTGCATCACGACACCGTTTGCAAACCTGTGCATGCCTTTGATCGTAGCTCTGTCTCGAATCGTGTGGACAGCAACAGACACAAACACATCGATCGAGATGGCATACGTGAGCACATGCGACTCTTGCAGGTCCGTCATGGCTCCTTCAAACGCACAAAGATGCATGTCTGCGTGGCCCAATTCACTCGTGCACAAGTGCCGCAGCAGTCTAGTCACGGCTTCGTGGCTAGTCTTGGGTTTGCCGCCAGACACTTCGACAAAGAAAGCGCGGGCCGCGTCTTCTGTCAGCGTCACATGTTCCCCTTCCTCGAGCATCTTTCCCGCCGATGCTAGAGCTGATCCAGTCGGCATATCGTTGAGAATACCTGGCCGTCTCAACCCCTGGACAATGGATTCGGTCTCGATGAACCGCACGGCCTTCTTCCGAGCAACATATTCGATCGTCCGCGCCGATGTGCCGAGCACCGTCGCGTCCAAGTACCGCTTGCACCCGTTGAAGTAGTCGCTGGTCTCTGGGTCCGGGATCAAAATGCGCTGCCGGACATCGTGCATCGTCTCGTGCACGGCGTCCGCGACCTTCCTCGCTGCTTTTTCCGCCTCCTCTCGCGCCGGCGCCAGCTCCTGCTCGATCTTTACCTTGGCCTCGCTCAACCTCCTGTAGATTGGTGTGGCCTCCAACGACTGTCGCCGCTGCCGGACGTACGTCGCGGTCCTCTGCACGACGTCCTCTTTTGTTGCCTGGAGGTATCGCCCTGGGCGCTCGACGAAATGCCGATGCAACCGCTCTGTGACACTGAGAAACTCGTCGTCGTCATCGTCGTCCCCGCCGTCGAGCGGCAGGTCGGCCGCGGGGGACGGAGGACGAGCCCCCTCCCCATCCACCACCTCATCCCCCCCCTCCTCCTCCCCCTCCTCGGGGTGTGTGGACGTGTCTTTGGTTTTGGCGTACACTTTGTCTGCGACGACCTTGACATGACTTACAAACGTGTTGCGACGGCGTTCCGCCAGTGGCGGCGCGATGGGTCCGTACGCCGTGTCGCCGTTAAACGTGCAGATTTCCACTTGGAGGATCGACATCCACAGCACGCATTCCTTGGCAGACGATGCGGAAAACAGCGTTCGATGGCATTTGTCCTTCTCGTCGGTGGTGGTGGCGTGGGGTTTCATGGGGCTAGAGGGGGAAACGGGGGGCGGAGAGTACGTCAGGACAAAGCAGTTAGGCATATGTCCAAAGTCGGGGTCCAGGTCTCGCAACAGCGTCACAGAGCAGTCGCGAAGGCGGAGGACGTGGAGCGGGGCTAGCGTCGTCGTCTTGTTGTCGTTGTCGTCGTCGGTTGATTTCTGCAGCGAAAACCAGCGCAACGTGCCGTGCTCAATCACACAATGCCTCGGGACCCATTGCTACAGGACTGTTAGCAAGCCAAATTCAACGAAAGCCAAAGCCTTCATAGTCGAACACCAGACAAAAAACGAGAAGGGCGAGTTGAGCCAACACGTACCGGCACGGGAACGTCAGTTTTCACACGAAGCAACCCGTCCTTGGAGATGGGGAGCCGAAACGTCAGCTTGATCGGGCGAGCGTGCACGCGCAGGAGGTGCCACATCGCGTCGTAGTCGACATGTTTGCCCGTGGCGTCGTTAGCTTTCACAAGGACACTAAAGCAAACAATGTCAGTCTCGGCAATCGAAGTCATAACTAAGGTCAATCAACCCACACAGCTTAATGGCCACTACTCACTGTGACAGTATTGTACCTGGCTTTGGGGATATACGTGGCGGCGTCCTCGCACTCCGTGGGCACGACCACAAAAATCCGCCGGCGATGCTGCTCGATCGTCATGTCCAGCTCTTCGTGCTCGGCCACGACCACGGACCGGTAGCCAGTGTGCGCCAATATAGCTTGCATGGCTTGCGGAAACAGGACCGTGGTGGGAGTGTTAGGGAGGTACTGACGCTGCAGCACGTCGCGCCGCGCCAGGTCCAGCTTGGTAAGCCACGACAGCTTCTCGGCGGCACTGAACGCGGCCATGTACAGCGTCACAGCCCCGAAACGCTCGATCGCAAACGCCAGCGACCGGCCGCTTTCGTCTGCGGGGGGCGTCGGCACCACAGCCGTGATGAGTTCGAGGGGCACATGGGTGGACATGCCGACTCGGCGCTGGTCAGATTTGAAGGCCAGCGCGCCGCGCTCGAGCTCGACGAACCGACGCCGCCACTTGGACTTGGTCGCTTTGCGCACGTCCTAATATCGTGCCTTTATGTTTCAACCATGACCAAAGAGTTGTAGTTTCGTAGTCCGAGAACAAAAGACGTCGAAGCGAGCTCGAGAAGAAAACACTCAACGCGTGGGGATGCTACATTGATTGTAACTGGAACGTGCATACGTACAACAAACCCCGCGAGGTCGAACGGTTTCTGAAACACGCGACGTTGGATGCGCTGCTTGGCGATGCGGATCTCGACCTCTTTGAGCCATCTGGCCTTGACGTCGGCTGACGGCGCCGCGAGCGTGATGGTGCTGTCCCCGGTAGAGATTCCAAACACATGCGCATGGCCACGGGTAGCTTCCAAGTTGACCACGAACGACCGACTCGTGAGCTTGACGTGATTGCGCACGCGCTGATGCAGCCGCGTCGTCACGTACGTCAGGGAAATGTGGCCAAGCTCGACGTCGCGAGGCACCCACGGCTGTTGCGGCCTCCGCGCCGACTTCTTCCACAGCGTGCCACGTAATATGTGCACTTGATTATCGAGGCAATTCCGGATTGCATCCAGCCACAGCAGCATGTCGTCGTACGAGGTGGCTGTCAAGAGCATCGTGTTTCCATTCGTCCTAGATGACCGTATGAGGGGCGACACAAACGAATCGGCGAGTGTGTGTGTATGTACGTGATGGAGAACGTGAAAGGAGGCAGCCCCGAGTACACGTCGGCGCAATCGAGCACTTTGGTTTTGCGGTCGAAAGGGAATGAATCATGGATCGCGGCTTTGAACGATGGACGTGGGTCGTGTTTGTAAATGTCCAGCCGGGACGTGATCAGCACGAGGAAGACCCGCGTGAGATGGCCACTGAATGGCGTGGCACTGTTCGGTGGTGGTCGGCTCTTATCAAGGAATCCACACGTAAAATCATGATGCGCGTGCATGATGGATGTTGTGGCTGTAGACCACCAACGCCATCTATTTTAGTAGGCCGACATCCGTCACAGTTACATGCTTGACGATCCGTGTTGCATGCCAACCCCATCTGCTCCGTCCTACTACTGCATGCTGCAACTACATGCCCATCGTTTCTACCCCCGTGCATCGTCGGCGGCGACAGACTCCCATGTTGGCGTTCTCATCATATCTTGAAGGGTAATCATCCGGATACAGTAGTGTCGTTTCCATGAATTTGAAAGTACATGAATGCATTTGATTGGTCAAAATAAACATTTTGTCGAATTGGATTGGCTAAAATTCGAAACGCGAGGTGGTTGGTCCAGACTTGCTGCATAGTGAGTCGCAGAGTGGGGTTTGGTGGTGGGGAGCCCAGCGATCCAGTAGGGCGTTTGTATTATTGGACTTTTCGCAAGGAATCCCCTGAGGTAAGAAGCATGACGTACCTGCCTGAGTCCTGCTGGTTGATGGCATGGCCATGAACCCTCCATGACCATCTTGATGGTCTACCGCAAGCATGATGGTGTGAGGATGCTACTGCATATTGTCATCATCAGCAGCAGCAGCAGTATGCCGTGAATGAACCAAGCGCGACAGGAATGCACAGATGGCTCATGTTAGGTGATGTGTGTTGTAGAACAATGGTGAACATCCCCAAGGAACGCCGTACCTTTTGCAAGAGCAAGAAGTGCCGCAAGCATACCGTGCACAAGGTGACCCAGTACAAGGCTGGCAAGGCCTCCAAGTTCGCCCAAGGTGCTCGTCGTTATAACGAGAAGCAACAAGGTTTCGGTGGTCAAACCAAGCCCGTCTTCCACAAGAAGGCCAAGACCACCAAGAAGATCACGTTGCGCATGGAATGCAAGGATTGCAAGGCCAAGAAGCAACTGCCCATCAAGCGCACCAAGCACTTCGAATTGGGTGAAAAGAAGAAGTCGTCCGGCCACGTCTACTAAGCGCCGTGCTGGTACTGGTGGTGGTGTTGTTCCTACCTCGACCTGTCGCCTCTTCTCTTCCGTCGTCTCCCTTGTGCTGCTGCTCAAATGCTTTGTCCTTTGATCATTAACACGGGTGTTGAACATGCGAGTCCAATAAAACTTAATCTTTCTCGATTACATGGGTTGGTCGCCCATTTGCATGGTCCTCTTCAGGTAAACGGTCACAACCCTGGGTTTAGATCGTCTCGTTCACGTACCCGCGTGTATGTATGTACGTGGATGCAGGCAAGGCCTTCTTTGCATTCTACTTCAATGTAATGGCCAACGACAAACATCATGATCGAGAACATCATACTAGTACATGACAACTCATGCATGCATGACGAGTTGCGTAACGTTCATTTTGTGCTGGTGCTGGCGTTGAAGCTTGCTCGGGTTCAGTCGTCAGTCAGCGTGGGGGTGGGTTGGTGTACGGTTACTGGTAGTACGTTGAGAGCCATCTGACTGCCGGTAAGCTTGCGACTTGAACTGGGGCCCCTCGATACAACCAGGTATGGTAGCCACACGCTATCGTTTGTGTTGGTTGTGCAGTATTCTCGATTATATCGCAGAGTCAAGCTTCTGTGCCAGTGTTCTGTGAGGTAGGAAAAATAGTAACGGTATTTATACTTATTTCAGTATTTATAATAGAGAATGATATTTGTACTGGTATGTGACATGCAAGGAGGAGAAATTATTTTTATTCATACTATAATAGTACTTGACACATTCCAGAATAAATAGTTCATTGTGCCAGTGGGAACGAAATATTTATTGACTCAACAATAACTTCGAAGTAACTTATCGATGAATATCCTGTCGAGGCAGACTGAATTATATATTTGTTTCTTGAGTCATTACAGGTACCTCTGTCATTAGCGTCTACTTTGTACTAGTATCCTTTATTTATTGGTTAAAGTGGTGACCAGTGTTTTGGGCTATCTCAACTCAAAGACAACTAACTATGAGTATTAATATAGTATTCTCGACAAGATTGATCTATTTGCATACTTCGAAATAGAAAATTTTATTCTGAATGGACCTGTAACAGGTCCATGTTTCAACTCCTTACAATTAGTACACCTTTTGAAATAGAACCTATAATCGATGCATCGGCCCACTTTTGAGCATAGTCGAGTTTCTCTAGATTTATATTTCGAAAACTAGTATTCTTGAATATATTTTATATAGTTAAGCAATATTAAGTTTATCATGTACACACCCACACATCCCACGTTTTCATGTTGTCGTCGGCGCAGCTACAAACCTGTCGCCCCCTCGATCAAACATGGCAATGACATGTCCGGACCGGGCGTTCTCCGAGCGCGACGCGATCGACAGCGGCGTGTTCCCCCGGAAGTCCCCCAGGCGGGGATTGCCGCCATACTCCAACAGCACCCGGATCATCTCCAGCCGCTTTTCCACGCATGGCTCCTCCCTTCGCAGTTGGACGGCCCAATGCAAAGGAGAAAACCCGAGCGAGTCCATAACGTTCGGGTCGGCGCCAGCTTCCAGCAGCAGCCGGGCCATTTCAGGGAGCGCCTGCTGGCCGCAGATGTGCAGCGCGGTGGCTTTGTCGTGGCCCTTGGAGTTCGGGTCCGTGCCGCGGGAGAGTGCGCGCCTCGCGCTGTCCACGTCGCAGTTGCGCGCAGCATCCCGTAAGTGTTCGCCTTCTACGAGGAACATGAGAACACACGAGAATTACAAGTAATCCTCGTCATATTCGAAGTCCAAATATGCAAACAACATGCGAAATGCGACGTGGTAGATAGATCGTACCAAGGCCAGGCGCGTTGCAAAAGGAGGCGACGCCATACACGACACAAAAGAACAATGCGATGACGATTTTGCCCGAGAAGCGCGCATACGTCCACAGATGCTCCATCTGCTCGGGCTTGAGAGGGGAGGACGAGGACGTGGTGGAGGCAGAGGAAGCGTAGTAGACATAGTTCGCTAACAGGTGCGGCGAAGGCACTGCATCTGGATGCGACCGCAGTTCCTCGACATATGCGAGATGGAGTCGGCTGTATTGTGCTTCGTCCAAAGGGAATCCGTGCAGCACAACAACGGCTTCCCATACTGCAACCACGAGGGAGTACACGGGCACACCAAGGCTGCGGACGAGGCCGCCGCACAGGGTCATGGGAGTCGCCACCGCGTACTTCCAAACACGGCGGGGAGAGTTGTAATAGTTGTCCGAGGACGCTAAAAACACCGATAGGTCGTGTGCGATCGCCGCGACCATCGCGCCCAGTACCACGGACTGGAACAGATACATGGCACGGGGCTGCGTGTTGCGGTGGACGACATCACTTAGCATACCAAGAAGGTACTGGAACAGCATGATTCGAGGGTACTCCCACACGACGGATGCTACCACGAGCAGCACACCCATCTTCGAGTGGTGCTGGAGGATCACCTTGAGCATGGCTACGCGACGGACCGACGAGGATGGAGTGTGAGACGTGACCACTTGAGGTGTGCCAAACGTTCGACGTTTCCAAGGTCGAGAACGTCGAATTTCGAATGTCTTGAAAATGCGAAATTTCAGCAAAATCGACACGATCGAGAACAAATATGGAAAAGTGTCCACAATAGACACACACAAGCGCGCGATGCCCCCCTGTTTCTTGGTTGGTTTGTCTAACATGGAAGAACGTTAGATTAACACCATGTCGTACGATTAGACGCACTGCAGTAACTGCAGTGATGGACTTGCATAAGCATTTTGGCGTAACGAAGTTGATGTGTGCGTAGACAATCAATCGACCAATCAAAACCTATAACACTATTCAGGTGGTCAATCAATTTCTCATATCAACCTTACGTAGTACTTAATAGTTATTATACTCTCCCCAGGACGTATTAATTAATACTAGTACCTGGTACTTCGAAAGATTTGACTTGTATTAGTGTGACACTGGGAAATTTTTGTACCGTATCGAGGGAATTTACTGGACACTTTGAATCTTGAAGTCTGATTGGTCAACTTGAATCTTGAAGTCTGATTGGTCAACTTGAATTTGAAGTCTGATTGGTCAACTTGAATTATTTTGACAAATCAAACACACCGTTTTAAAAGCCATGATTCTGATTGGTTAAGTAAGTACAGCAAGATTCAGACGATAATCGATGGGAACACAAAAAGCCCAAGGGCAATTTGACATTTCTAATGAGATTGCCGAAGACATAGTATAAGTGTACTGTATCGCAGGGCATCAAGATCATCAGTACTACGAGTACTGTATTAATACATAGTACGTACAGTAAGTACCCTTCCAACAACCATACCAACACATCTCGTGAGAATAAATTACAACTTTTGGTCATGCAAACTTTTCCGAATGGTAGTCAAAGTACACTCCGCCCGTGTCAGGGTCGGACGAGTACTTGCGACACATGTCGAGGAGGACCTTGTCCAGTGCGTGGGGACCGCAGAAGAACACGCCGACTTCTTCGCCGCGGTGCTTCCGCGTGAGATTGTGAAACACAGCGTCCCAGTTCGGTCTTCCGAAGTGGGTCATCTGCTTGGCGTTGATGAGGCCGGACACGACGTCGCGGCCCGTAGCGTCATGCACCACGGCCTGGATCATCTTGAGCTGGGGAAGGGTCTTGTCAGTAGTGTTGACCGTGCTCAGGTACTGGTGGCACTCGATCACGTTGTCCTTGTCCATGTCTGCGATCTGGTTCATCGTGTCCTGGAACCATCCGAGTGACTCTTGGCCCCGTGTGACCCAGTGAAAGTACATCTTTTGGATGCGGAACGACTGCGGGTGTCGAATGTGCGCGCAGTTGAGGCACCGATACTCTTCCCACAGGTGTACAATGTCTTTCAAAATCGACGCAAACGGTGTCACACCAATTCCGCCGCCGACCATGACGATTGTCTTGAACCGATGGTAGTCCTGCGTGGGGGCCCCCACCGGGCCGTCAATGTACACTTGGGGGTACGCGTCCCCGTGCTTGAGCACGTCCTTGATCAAGTCATGCAGCGCGTTGGTCCAGTCGCCGGCATTTCGGATGTGCACGCTCAGGTACTGATCCCCCGGCGCCGACGAGATTGTAAACGGATGCCATTCATGGCTCGACAAGGCTGGGACGTTCAAGTACAAGTACATCCCCGGGCGGTAATGGAATCGCTTGGGCTTCTCAATGTACAGCGCGACCACGCCGTCCAGCATGCGCGCGCGGACAATGTGCAGCGGCGTCGTAAACATCTTGGCATATCGGAGGCGGCGCTCCACCAAGTACAATGTGAGTGGCGGACCAATCCAGTAGAACGACGACGGCGTCGCGAGCCACCCCGCCAACCCATGCAGACACCCCACGAGCAAGAAAGGGAAGAACAGCATGTGGCTGTACCAAAAAAGGTTGAACTTGCCTTGGCGGAACTTGGGAATGGCCGCAAGGGGAAACGACACGCACGTGATCAAGAGCAGGATCACCCCGGTCCACACGGGCAGCGACAGCACCATCTCCAAGAACGGCGGCGCGGTGCCGCCGTCGAACATTCGCACGTCGCGCGTGACGAAGATGGACGCACTGATTTCGTCTGGGGTGGCGACGCAGTACAGTTGGATCTCGTTGCTCACGTGCGCGGCCGTGTGGACGAGCCCCGCCACAAGCAGCGTCGACCCGACGATCTTATGGAACTCGATGTGGTCGTCGAATGGCACCATGTGCCACAGCATCGTGCTGCGCTTCATGAGCTGGACAATCGACCGACACATGGGCAGCAACACAATGCCAAAGTTCAGCATGCACACTTGTGCGCACGCCCGCGCAATCTTGAGCCCGTAGCCCAACGCAGGGTCCACGGGGTACATTTGCCACTTCATGAGGAACACGATCGTGTTGACGAGGGTGTACAGTAGCAGCCACAAGATGCGCAGGTGGTGGCGATCGTAGAACACAGCGAGCTTGGATGCGTTGGACGTGCCAGGACCAACGGATGGCTCTGTGAGCACCGGCATGTCGTCCATGTCATCGTCCATGTCGTCGTCGTTCTGGTCGTTGTACAAGAACGGCCCAAACACTTGGCGAAACGCGGCGTACGTCATTTGATCGTTCGCGATGCGACTCTTTATAAAGAGCGCGTCGGCCATATCCTTGAAGCTCGTGCCCACGGCTTGGAGCTTGAACGATGCAAAGTTGGCTGCAAGCAAGTCGGCGATCTGCGCCGACGTGACGACCATGCGCTTCTCTTGGTCGATCGTGTCGAAGATGAACGCGAGCTTCTCTTCGTCGTCAATATCCAGTTCCACACACGTGTCCACGAGCAGTGCCTTGGCGTTGATCTGGTCGCTGTTGGACGTGCTCACGAACGCCGACGGGTCCGCGATGTCGAACGTGTGGGAGAACGTGGCGCGGTCGATGTGCCCATGGACGTCGGTGATGCCGTGAAGCAGATCGCGCAGCGCATGCAGCTTGGCAATCGCCGGTTTCACGCCCCGGGCTGTGTCGAACTCGCGCATGCTGCCGAGGATGTTGGACGGGGCGCCGTACCGTCGCGTGTCTGTGGCAGACGCGCTCGAATCGAATGAGTACATGGAACTGGGCTTTTCGTCGCCCAATACTGGCGTTTGCGCGCTTTCTGACAAGATACCGTCGTACGAAGGTTGGACCATCGACATGCGCTGATGAACGGCCGGGGACTGTAAGATCATGGACACGCGCGACGCGCGCTGTGAATTGAAGAGATTACTGATCCGGACACCACCGGTGTTGTTGTTCGATGGACGTATGGGATTAAGCAAGCGTGGGGTTTGTGGGGTGATCGTCTCATTGAATTCCGCGACTTCGATGATCGCTTCGTCGTTGAGGCGTGCGGTACGCGGCGTTTGGCCTTTTCCCACGTAATGCTTGGGTTCCTTCACTTCACCTTCGTTGATAAACGACAGGTTGTTGATCTTCCGCCTTTCTGCGGCGGCGCTCATGGCGGCAACGGACGTCGCGGCCCTCGGCTGCATGTGGCCAGATCAGTATATTTCCCACAATGACACAACCGCCGAGTAATCTTTGGGTACCTGAAAACGACCTACTATAGTAAACTCAAGACAAGGCTTGCTATAAATAATCGCGGCTTGGTATACAAACGGCAAGATTATTTTAGTGACCTTGGTTGTGAAACCGTGAAATACGTCGTGTGAAAATCCAGTATAGACGAGGGCCGTTACATTGCTCCCAAGTCGAAATAAAATACTGTAGCCAAGGGAACACTGAAGGTTTGTATGTGTCGACATTTTAATTGATTTTAATTCCTGTCAAAAAGTCAAGTGAAGTCAACTGGAGGCGCCAGAACAATAACCGCGTGGTGCATTGTTGACTGGAAATGAAGTTGCCGCTCCTGTTGATGTGACAGAGTGGCTTTTGACGAGCGAGCTTGGCGTTAGAGTGGCTTGCGTGATGACTGGTGCTGCTGCTATCGATGTACTTACTGTACAGCCCTTGCAATCTGTACTGTATGACGCCGGGGTTTCCAATGGGTTTGAATTGTCATTACGAGGGGCCTGTCCACTCGGCGTGTGTAGAACCTGTCAGAGTCACCTACAAGAAGAACGGGATGTGAATGCGCAGCGAAAAAGTGGCTACGATCACCTCGCCAGGGGAATCTCGTCAATAACTGAAAGACGAATGTCAGTTTGAACTACCGGTACATACCACACACAATACAATCACATAGTACAATGTAACAGTAACCGAAGCAAGCGAATGAATGCCAAGCCATTGCACTTCCACTAAGCAGTATCATTCCTGGCATTATCATTCCATGCGCAACATTTCGCGTGGCGTGGCAAGATCCCCATGGTACAAGCAAGCTAACTAACGTTACCAGACATTTGCAACACGAATGTAAGCCTAACGTTATAAATCAGCTCATAATCCAACTCGCGTGTTTTAGCAATGAATCATCGCATTTCAATCGAATAGCCAATGAAAATTCGTTTTGTGCGTAATATCAACCAATCGATGCTCATTCGCATTCTTAAGGTAATTTCAGGTCTGAACGAAATTTGTAGAGAATACATAATCAGCGCCTAAATTGAAATATCATTAGCCAATCAGCGACGGGAAAGCCAGTCGTAATCTCTCCCGCACAATCGCGCAAGAATCACCGACGCCGCCTTCGCCGTCGTTCTCTTGCCATCTATCTCTACAGACACACTTCACCATGGACTCGGCCTTTATGCATGAAGAGAAGACCGAGTTCGACTTCAATGACCTCGTATTGGGCTCCATGGGAGACGCGGCAGGGCTCGAGAACGTGCTTAGCGAAGACAGCTTGGACGACGGGTCGTCTTCGTCGTCTACGACCGCCGCAGGACTTGGGAAGAAGCGCAAATACGTGAACCGTCAAAAGCTCGAGCTCGAGTACCTCCGAGACACCGTGGATGCGTTGCAGAAACAAATGGACTTTCTCGGCAACATGCAGGCAAACCAGCAGCAAACGGGCTCGGAATGGAAGGACTTGGCCGCGGAACAGCAACTGCAAGCGCAATTGGCATTTGTCGAGAATGCTCGATTGCGTACGGCGTTGCAAGAAGAGCTCGCTTTTGCCGAGACGTTGGCAGGCATCGTGCGCAAGAAGCCCAAGGTGCTGGACCTCCCATCGACGTCCAACAATGCGTGGCGCGACTTCAAGCTTGTGGCGGACATCGAGGCTCGCAACACGGCGATTCATGCGATTGCCGATCGAGAGTACAACAAAGTGCTTCACAACGTGCTCCAAAGCGACGCCGCCGACTCGACGTCGCCCTCGACGGCCCACCAAACCGTCAAGTCGACCACAGTCAAGTACCTCGACGACGGCATCGTGCCTGGAATCGTCATCGAGAGCTTCAATCGCCTCATGTTTCCCCACGTACCCTTCCACATCTTGGGCCACGCGCTGTGGAGCTTTCTCAACGGCGACATTGGGGACGTCAGCCATGCCGCTTCTGGATCGTCGTTCGACCAACTGGACTCTGTCGGCGACGACGTCGTGTACATGAAGAGCCGGTGGCGCATCGGCAATCACAACGCCCACAGTGCCGACAAGGAATTGCATGCTGAATCGAGGCTGCTGATCAAGCGGTATGTAGAACCTTCCCGACAGATTGTCGTGTGGCGCAACATCATCGAGGACGCGTTGCTGCCGCTGGACGCGAGCGCCCTCACGTTTCATGGCAGTGGCTGGTACGTTTTCGAATTGTATATCTTGCATGTTGCTATTGTCGTTTTACCCAAATATTTTTGGACTTTTGTGCTGATTCGCCAAATCTATCGATCGATTCGTTGTACTGACTTTTGTATGTAAAGTGTTGTCCTGTGGTGATTGGTATCACACTAATTGATGTTATACACGATTTCAATGTTGATGATGGTTTCCTGCAAGCTGATTGGCTCAATAAATCCTTCTGCCAATTCTTGTACATTTATTGGGATAGTTCTCCATGTCGCTCCAGTTTAGAATAAGTACACCACAATAGCAGAAACAAAAATCACATGATGCAAATAGGGCCATGGTCGAGCATGATACCGCTGGCACGATCGTCAAGTTTTTCACGGAAATCTCCACCCCCTTGACACATGCGACATCATCGCCGTCGGTGGCTTCCGCGGGATTCCTCGCGGCAGGGAGTAGCGGCCATGCCGACGACGCGGCGATGCTCACGTCCGTGTCGGACGATGCATCGTTTCAAGTAGGTCGGTTCACAGACTCCATCTTGTCTGCATATCGCAACGCGTATCGCCGCTTTGAACATGCGTCCATGCAAGCGTGGAGCCAGATGCAGAAAGCCGACGTGTCCTCCAACCTCACGGCGTTTGGATTCGTTCAAGGCGGCGGCGACGGCAGTTCTCCGATATCGACAGTCACGTTAAACCCATAACTGTAACAACATTGTCTTGCCATAGTGTGTTGTTCTCCAATAGTGTTGCAGCTACTTTAGCTTCTACTGTAGCTTCTACTTTAGCTATTCAATGGCCAAGGCGAAATGAAGGTCATAGCATATTCACGTAGGCAGAGCTACAGTACTACTAGTACTAGTATATAGTAGAATGATATCGCCGGTGACGACGTTAAATGGATACGGGCACACATGAACCAGCGACGTTTGCATTAACGAATATGCCGTCCTAGTGGGGCCGCCGACAGTAGCTTGAAGTGCATGCCAGACAAACACATCCACTGGTCTGGCCGCTCGTGAATCACCACGAGGTGCCGATCGGTTGCCGCGTCGTAGTCGGCGACGCATCCATCGATGTACGGGGCGTGCAGCACGGCGACGTTGGTTTGGCGGCCGGTCGTTGTCGCTCCCATGTCGTGGAAGATTCGAATCCGGGAATGCGTGGCCAATTCTAGCGTCAAATAAAATGATAATACCAGAGGGCTTCGTTGCGAGTCAGACGATTACCGGTGCCCCAGCAGATGTGCGAGCCGCCGTAGTAGTATCGTACGGTCGTCGGCGTCGGCGTCCAGTCGAGGTCGGTGTCGTCCGGATCGGCTTCGGGCTCGCTGCGATAAACCCCCCCGCCTTGCATTTCATTGCAGAGGAAGGGGCCATCCCACGAACTGCCGTCGTCCCAATGGTATCGCCCACGTCCGTGCATCAACCCCTGCATCCACATGCCTATTAGAATCACCATCACGATAACGTTAGTCCAGTCATTCAAAGGACAAAAATTGCGAGTAGTTTGGCCCGCCTAGTACCTCGATAACGCACGAAGAGAACTGGGGGTAATAGGGGGTCTTGTTGCGACGTATCTTGCACGAATAGCGTCCCCTGTCGAATCAGTCGAGTTTGACGAAATTAGAATGCATTTCTCGTCAAGATGTGGAGAGTTCGTTACCTCTCCGTGTGGAATCCAGACGCGGTCTCGATCAAATACTTGGCCCTCGTACTTGTCGCCTGTACAGGTTGTCAACCGTATCTACTAGTGCGTTGAAAAGGAGGGGGATGTACCGTTGTCGTATCGAATGACTTTGATGGTGGCATTCTGGGCCGCCACGGCGCGCACCTCGGCTTCGAGGGCTGATCGAACCGCATCGGCTTTGAACTGCGACCGCAGCTTTGACGAGCTCTCGTGAATGTACCTACACATGTGTAGCTTTAGACGATGTGTGCCTAGCGGCCACTCGACATACGCGGCCTTTGCCGCGGCGAATGCTGCCCGCTCGTCGTGGAAGCGGCGTTCGAATTGGCCCCACTGGTCCGACGACAAACATAAGTTGAACATGGAAATGGCTTTGGCTTCGACGCCATAGCCCACCAGCAACGCCCCAGCTGCTTGAAGCACGGTGCAACCAGGGACGCCATGCACAACTCGGTCGATCGTTTTCTACATCACATGCTCATTCTCGTTGCTTTTCTCCACAGAAGTATGTATGTATGATCGGCACTTGTACTTGTTTGTAGGGGTATTCACGCCATGGAATCGTCGACGAACTGTCTTTGTGGTACTCACGCAGCGGGTCAAAGGGGAATTCCAGCGCCGGGTCTATCTTGGACGCGTACATTGAATTGCGCTGCGACGGCGGCCTGGATTGCACATGAAACGTCGCGGTTTCATCGGACAATGCAAACTTCCGCGGAAGTTCCATTACTAACTGTCAAATGAACAAAGGCCTCGAGATTCATTGGTTAAATTGTGTGAATTCCAGCCAATCCCGTCTCGTTATGTACCTCAACGTTGAGCTCACGCGCAACATTCCCACAAAATGCACTTACGTTATGACAATGCAACCTAGTGCTGCCAACCATCCTTCCCTTGACTATATGTTAACGTACTGCATGCCAACACCTTTGGCACCCCCAACCCCCCACGAGCAGCAGGGCCATGGCTATTGTAGCTGGTATCTGGTTCTAAGAATGCATTTGATTGGTGTTCCGATATGGGTGACGATGTGATTGGTCATAGCCACGCACAGTGTGTTGCAATTCCACTAAAATACCTGCACATCTTTTACGCGGCATGTGTTATCAGTGTCCAATTTGCCACAAGCGTGCCACGATGCCGTCGAGCGATCACCTTCCCGAAGAGTCCTCCCCGCTTCTCCGAAGGTTCAAATCCGTGCAGGTGTCGTCGTCATGGCTGTTCTGGCGCCCGTCGGCTCCTGGGCATCGCTTTTTTCTGCTTGTGCTTATCTGTTTGATTCCATTTGGCGGTCACTTTGTCAAGGTACATACATATATATAGTCTACAATGAACCCCCCACGGAATCTGACATGGCCAAATAGAATGAAATGAGTTCGTTGGAGCCCTTCATGTTGGACGACCCCACGTTTCCCATCTCCAACACTATGTACGGCGCGCTCAACTCGGCCGTGTCGATCCCCAATATGATCGTTCCGTTCTTGGGCGGTCACCTCCTCGACAACCAAGGCCACAAGAGCATCCTGTACTTCCTCCTGCTCATGTGCATCGGTCAAGCCATCTTCACCTACGCCATGGACGCGCACAAGTTTTGGCTCGCCCTAGTTGGCCGAGTCGTGTTTGGGCTAGGCGAAGGCAGCGTCGTGGCCGGCGCCCGAGCCATCCTGTCGTACTGGTTTGACCGTTCTGAACTCACGTTTGCCATGGGCGTCATGATTGCGACTTCGAACGCGTCGAAGATGCTGGCCAAAGCTACGGTTGCCCCATTGGCCCTGCACTTTGGCAGCTACGTGTATGGGCTCTCGTACGGATTGGTTGTATGTGTGGTGTCGTCCCTGTTTGCGCTGCTGCTGGTGAAATGCACTCGGGCGTTGCGTGTGATTCGGCACTCGGTTCGAGCTCAGCGTGGCGCCTCGACGGACCTGTCGACTCTTGTGGACCCCAAGCTGGCGTGGTTGACAGCATATTGCAACAGCAGCAGCCACCACCACCACCACGACCACCAGCCTCCTCATCATCATCCGTCCAACACGACAAAAGGATCCAAGCACAACGCTGGCGTGCTGCAGCCAGTCCAAGCGTCTACTGCCGGTGGCTTTTCCATTGTGTTTTGGCTCGTGGTGGTTCTGCACGTGGTCTTTATCAACGCATTTCACTTGTTTCAAAACATCTCGAGCAGCTATCTTACCCAAGTGCACGGGTACTCTGTCGTGGACGCAGGGTACGCCAGCTCCCTCGCGCACACGTTCGTGCTCGTATCGCCGTTTGTGGGGCTGATCATCGACTACGTCGGGGGGCGAATGGTCGTGGTGGTCGCGTCGTGCTTTCTCGGCGTCGTCTCGTACACCCTGCTGGTGTTCACGACGTGGCCCCCCATCGTAGCGATGCTGCTCTTCTCGGTATGTCTGGCTGCCACCCCCACCATCCTCATGGCCAGCATCCCGCTTTCAATCGACAAAAGTCGGTTTGGGTTGGCGTTCGGCATCGTCGAAGTGATCGACGGCGTCGGTGCCTTCCTCGGCAACGTCGGCCTGGGCTACCTCCGCGATATGTCTGGCTCGTACGATGCGGTCATGTACTTTTTACTGGCGCTGACGTCGTTTGGGTTGGGACTAAGTCTGGTGCTGGCGTGGGTGGACAACCTCTACGGCGGCAACCTCTCGTCCGCGACAGTCAACATCCCCCTTGTCGCCCCCAACACCCCCCCAGGCATCGTCTCGCCGCTCAGTGGCTCCGACAGCGACAGAATAGCCAAGTCCTCTCGCATATATTTATAATATGACCAAGCTATGATCATAGCAATATACGGCTTGACTATGAAGTGCCACACTTCCATCACTACGATTTGAACCATTTGCACAAAGAATCTTTGAATGCATCGCATCACAACTGTGTAAAGTTAGTACCTTGCAAAACGCTCGCCACTCCCATGGAGCTCACGACGTGAAATCACTTCGAGGGAACGTCATATGATAAGACGTTCGTTCCTTGTGGTGGCAGTGCGCGGATATTTATTAACGTTACTCTTTTCCACGCACTGTCACCATAAGAATCCATGCTCCACCTCATCTGGTGGATTGTCCCACTGCAAACTGCACTTTCGACGAGCCCTGTGCCTTTTTCTAGTTCAAAATGTTGCCGTTTCAACACCCTACCCCCCCGACAGTTCGTTGTATACAATCACGAGGAGCGCTTCAAGCATGCCAACCAAAGAGACCTCACGCTTGCTGGCATCGACAGTGCCTTTCCCCGTGGTCTTGGCTCCTTCGTGGCAGTTCTGGCACATTGGGTCACCGTCGTTTCGGTTGTATTTGTTCGTGTTGCTGTCGCTCATTCCATTCAGCGGGCTTTGCCAATGTCAGCAGAGTCCCTACTAGGCTTACCCTCTCTTTCGCTAACCCCTCGTCGGTAGAATCAAATCACTGGCATCCAGCAACTAATGCTCGACGACCCTTCGTTTCCGATCACCAGCACCATGTTCGGTGCCCATACCGGCCGTGAGTGTGCCCAACATGCTCCTTCCGTTCGTCGGCGTCCACGTCCTCGACGTGCAGGGCCACGTGAGCGTGGTCTACTTTCTCCTGGCCATGTGTGTGGGGCACATCGTCGTCACGTTTGCCTTGGCTACCCATACATTTTGGCTCGCGCTTGTGGGGCGCGTCGTGTTTGGGGTGGGCGTAGGCAGTGTCGTCGTTGGCGCAAGGGCGATGGTCTCGTACTGGTTCGACGCGTCCGAGCTCACGTTTGCCATGGGGGTGATGGTCGCCACCACGAGCGTGTCCAAGATGCTGGCCAAAGCCACCGTGGCGCCGATTTCCATTATTTTGGCGGGTACATCTACGGGCTCTTGTACGGGGTGGTCATGAGTGTGTGGGATCGTGCGTGACAGCCATCGTGGCCGCGCAGTACATTTACACGTTGAAGGAATGCCAAAGCGTGGCCCAAGCAACCCCCATCTCCCCCCGGTTGAGGACGCCGACGCGAACCAACTTACGTGGCTTCGCAACTACCTACAGGTTGCGCGTCGGTCGCGCCGTCGATCGTCCGTCATCGACACGGTCGTGCCCACCCTCACATCCTTTCGAGACTTTCCGCTCATGGCACAATGTGCCCTTTGACTCTTGAAAGAAGTTCTTTTGATGTAAACACGGATGAATATGACGTTTGGTGTGTGTTTGTGGTAGTTTTGGATGCTTGTCGTCCTGCACGTGGTGTTCATCAACGTGTTTCACTTGTTTCAAAACATTTCGAGCAGCTACTTGTACCAAGTGCACGGGTACTCTGTCGTCAAGTCTGGCCTCGTGAGCAGTTTGTCGCACGTGTTGGTGCTGTTTTCTCCGCTCGTGGGGCTCGTCATAGACCGTCTCGACGGACGCGTCCCCATAATCGTCCTCTCGGCCGTGCTCGGGGTTGTCGCGTACGGACTGCTTCTGTTCACGTCCACGCCCTCGACTGTCTCCCTCCTGATCATGTCTTTCTGCTTGGCATCCACCCCAGCTGTTCTCATGGCGTGCGTGCCCCTGAATATTCCCAAGTCGCAGTTTGGCCTAACGTTAGCATTTGGGATTGTCGAGGTGATCGACGCGACGGGCTCCACGGTGGGCAACCACGTCGTCGGATGCTTGCGAGGTGCCACGGGTACCTACACGGCCGACATGTGCCTGTTCTTTAGCTTGGCGTGGGTTCTCCTCGGCCTGTGCATAACCCTGGGCTGCCTCGACTACCGAAATGGCCACGTGCTGGCGGCTTCGGCCCCCACCTCTACAGTACCACCACCACAAGCAGTTCTACTACGACAAGAGATCGCAACGTGTCAGTGTCGTGCGACGACGCCGATATTTTCGTCGACGTTGGGTGTGCGCTGTACGACAGCAGTGACGAGCAAAGGGAGGCTGCGTCTGTTTCGCTCGTACAACCTTAAACACGTGGAGGCTGCTTCAATTCGGTAGCTTCACAGAAACAATGCCATGTTGGTGCACCACCCCATTTCAGACCGGGGTGCATTTTGTTGTGTGAAAGGTTACAGTAACCTGTCCTTCGATACTACTACTTCTTACAACATGCCATCGGTAAGTTACGAAGTCTTGAAGTGCCAGTATATTCCTATAAATGGCAAATCGTCGGCTCCTCGAAAAAATAGTTGACGTGCGAGGCGCATGTCAACTATTTATTTCTAACGTTACTCTGTTCCATAATGATTGCAGCACTTGACTTCTGATTGGACTAAAATTTACATTTCTCCTCGTAATCGCAAGCGGATTGGCTCATTTGATAGATACACATTCCAGCTTTGATTTGATACCTCATCTCATGTTCCGGAAAAGTCAAAGTAGTTAGTGTGACATGCATGACCCCAAAACTTTGCGACCTTATTTTTCAAACCAGAAAATATTACGGTGCACAGTCGATAGTGATTGTATTTTTGTAAGCTTAAGAATGTATGCTCGTGTGATGTCCTTACCTCTCCCCATCGAGTCGCAGCCCGTCTAGGCATCCAGATGTGCTCGTGAGGTCGCTCCAAGTTTGTGATCGAGTGGGGCTCTGTATTTTGAGCATTTGCGTATATTAAGTGCCTATCATTAGCTTCCCATGTTACCAGAGATCAACATGACCTCTAGTAAGGTCGCTACAGTGTTGGCATGGCCTGAATGGGTTAACTCGTCCTGCAAAGGTGTCGACAAAGGCATCCAAGTTGCTGGTTTTTCATCCTTAATATTTAGGATCTATTTTATTATACTATTTCTATTATGAGTATACAAACTACAAGTATGTATTTAAATTACCGTTGGTTACAAAAGCTAAGATAAAAAGTAAAAAAATATGATATGCTGCAAACGATATGGAACAGAGTACTATGTAGTATTAATAGTACTTAACGTAAAAAATCAATTTAGGATAACTTTGTATTGCCCAATCACACCTCGTTATTTGTTCGAGTCAAAACCTCTATCATATAATGCTGGCCATTCCGTCACGTGAATGAAATGCAAAAACGGCGTAGAAGCCATTGGTAATAGTAATTCAAGATTGGGTTGAAGTTCCCTAGTTGACACGGGCCACATTGGGCTGGATCTGAGGTATTGTTGAGTGTTAAACTCGGTGGACATCCATCCACAACAGAAATTTAACTCTATAAAACAGTACCCTTTTATAAATTATATGCAACCTGTTGTAACCACTTACCCTAAACACAGAATTTCAATGCTCAGACACATACATACTTTAAGATAAAAAAGTTATCCTAAATTGATTATCAAAATGTGATTACAAATGCTTAGAAAGTAACAAATTCACCTGTAAAGTTCATCGCCTAAACTGATAGTTCGATTATGAAGTCAAAGAGGCGCGTCTTGTCTATTGGAATCACTATTCAAAACTCAAATATCGCAACGGACTCAAAAGTTATGTCCACTCTACTCCGACGCCTCCAAAAAAGTTATCTTAAATTGGTTTTTTACGTTATTACTGTAATACCTTCCAACTGGCCAAATCACTGCCAGATACTACGTAGTACTATAGGAGGTAGGAGGTTTTACTATAATACGTTTTTGCATTGTGGGTTAGGTAGGGCCTGTTCCAAGTAGATATTTTTAGCAAAATGAAAAATTGGTTCCAATTATTGTCGATTTGATACAAATTTGGGGAGGGGCCAAACCGATCCACAATCGATCTGATTGGTTGAATTTCATTGAGAAGGTTTTGATTGGCTAATAATTTTGAGCTCATCGGAGGTAGCCAAGCAAATCGATTTAAATTCCAACGAGAAACCACGCCACAACACGAAATTTCACTCGAAAGCACAATACAGGTTCCTACTTTTTTACCTCTTTTTTACGCAACTCACTACCGGTATACCAAAATTAAAAAAAGAGGTCCTTAACGACTTTTTCTAAATCGTTTAAAAATAGAGATAAATCGATTTTGATTGGCTCATGCTTTTTCTGAAAACTACTTGGAACTTCCCCTTACTGTAAGCCTAAAATATGACCACGTTAAACCTGAACCATATTGATAGTATACTACTTCGAAGTACTCAAGAAGTATGCAAGTGGTCGAGGCAATTGGCCCAAACTTCTTACATGAGCATTGTCCATATAGAGGACGAGGACTGTCACCAGTTACGGCAGGGATGTCTAGTCTGCCTGTCTCGAGCAGAACTGAGGCGATGAGTACTCATATAGGATAATTGTATTATAGAGTTTATGTTACCTCTGTATATGCATATTGTTACCCATTTGTTTGACCTACAGTACTTTACTAGAATCAAGTCCGGTTAGTGATTTTAATTCTGCGCTGAGGAGCAATATTATTTTGAAAATACAGTGTGCACATTATCCAACAAACCTGTAATATAAATATGAGCAAGCACAACACCGAATTCCCAGCTTCTTATTGGTACAAATTTCGTAGAAATTGGGTAAATGAGTCAAATTTTGAGGTGAGTCGAAGTTGAAACGTGGAGGTAATTTGGGACGGAGTAGTACTACTACTGTAGTATCTGCGTACGGATACGATGTACGGATACAAGTTTCATACAAGTTTCATACTAACATGAAGGTAACATCTCCTGGCCCTATATTGGCCCCATACAATATACCACTTGGTGTAAAGTGTACTCAACCAATTCTTCGCTACTGTAACAGTATTGATTTTGAGACGTACTTCGAAGTAACACTGTTCGAGATCTGCCGAACCGTTGGAGATGCTCTTAGAGCATGTTTATATTTCTACTGACAATTCGAAGTTACGCATACTACTGTACTAGTATGATATAGAATATGGAAACTCTTGCACTATCGAGGCGAAATTCTGCGAAACGTAATTTCTAACAAGACCGGATAGTGCCAATATAGCAACCGTAAAAACGAAGTTTGACTTTAACCTATGCTGTTAGCAATAGGTTAGAATTTACCGTAGGAGATGCTCGTAAATCTAGAAATGGTACTACTAGTACGTACTGGTAGTATGAAATTGCAGCCCGACGGTTTTGTGAAATGTTGGAGGTGACAAGCACCACGACTGTTAATTGCCCCAGTCGCACCCAAATACCAAGTTGAATCAAGTGAGTTTGAAATGACCAAGGCGCCTGGATCTTACACAATTAGTTCCTCTACGAACAACAATATGATGATACCGTGCACGCGGAGTGACGCCACTTGGTTGTGAACCAATAATATCAAATTACCCATGGACTACAGCATCGTTGCAAACATATTTGAATAGACATTTCAATGGTGTGTAAAAGGGCACTTCATTTTAAGTGCGGCATGGTAAACTCGTGAGAATGGATTGGTGGAATAACTACCAATCCCATTGCCTGATTCCAAATCTTCTCATATTATCGCGTGCCATATGCTTATACTACGATTTCATTGGTGTATGGCAAAGTACCTTCCATACCATTGGCCAAAATACAAGTGTCCAGAGCCAACGCGTCGCAAGTCACTCCAAGGTGCAACTGCAAACACCAGCCCAACGATCCACACCTGAAGCGGGTTCAGCGTCATATATCAATTCACTGCACATGTCCAAGTTACAAGAGGTCACTCCACTCCTCACAGCGGCGGTGGCGCCGCGCTATTTCTATCCCCATGTCCCCGGGTGGCAAGTCTGGAACACGGCATCGCCAGCGTTTCGGTACTGGTTTCTCGTCTTGTTGGCGTTGATTCCGTTTGCCGCCCACTTTGTCACGGTACGTACATTAGCTCAAATGCGATTGCATAGTGATTTGAAACTTGCGATGGCTAACCTTCGCTCGTCTTTGGCGTAGAACCAAATGGGGGCGCTGCAGCAGTTCATGCTCGACGACAAGGCCTTTCCGATAACCAACACCATGTACGGCGCGCTCAACTCTGCCGTGAGTGTGCCCAACATGATCATCCCATTCTTCGGCGGCCACATGATTGACTCCCGCGGCCACTACACGATCATGTTCTTCCTCGTACTCATGTTCATCGGCCACTCCGTCGTGACGTTTGGCATGCACCAGCAAACATTCTGGGTTGCGCTGCTCGGTCGTGTGGTGTACGGCCTCGGTGGCGGCAGCGTCATCGTCGGGGCGCGCGCCATGGTGGCATACTGGTTTGACGCGTCCGAGATCACGTTTGCCGTGGGGGTCATGGTCGCGTTCACAAGCGTGTCCAAGATCTTGGCCAAGTCCACCGTGGCCCCCGTTGCCATTTACTTTGGCAGCTACACGTATGGCCTCTTGTACGGGTTGGCGGTGTGCGTTCTGTCATGTGTGGTCGCGGTTGTGGCAGTGCGGTACGTCCTGCGCCTCAAACAAGTCAAGCGAACGTTCAAGCACGCCGACAACCAACCGCCGTTGGACCCTGCCTTGTCATGGCTTAATGCGTACTTGGTGGCTCCTGGTAAGCGCTTCCGAGCGACTGCAATCGCCACATCATCATCTACATCCTCGCAACACATGCCATCGCTCGCTTCGCTTCGGGATTTCCCAGTCATGGTACGTACTTAATATATATATACTCCAACAAAAAGAAACAAATCACTCACATTTTTTTTCTTTCTTGTTTTCCGTCTCTAGTTTTGGGTGTTGGTCGTCATGCACGTGGTGTACGTGAACGTGTTTCACTTGTTTCTAAACATCTCGAGCAGCTACTTGTACCAAGTGCACGGGTTTTCTGTCGTCGAATCGGGGATCGTGAGCAGTTTGTCACATGTGTTGGTGCTCTTCGCGCCCGTGGCCGGCCTCGTGATAGACCGCACGGGGGGCCGCGTTATTGTCATCGTGGCGTCAGCGGCGTTGGGAGTCGTCACGTACGCCCTGCTCCTCTTCACGTCGACGTCGCCCGTGGTGGCCCTCCTGCTCGTGTCCGTGTGTCTGTGCGCGACCCCCACGGTGCTGATGGCTTGTGTGCCCCTCACCATCCCCAAGTCCCGCTTTGGCCTGGCGTTCGGGATTGCCGAAGTCGTGGACGCGCTGGGGTCGTTTTCCGGGAACTTGCTCGTGGGCTACATCCGCGACGCCACGGGCAGCTACACCCCCGTGATGTACCTCTTCTTCACCCTCGCGTGGGTCCTACTTGGCCTCTGCATCCTCTTGGCCGTGCTAGATAGTGGACACGGCAATGTCCTGTCTGGCAAGAAGGACGATGCCACCCGTGATCACATCGTGACCGTCGCCGACGACGACGACGTAGTAGTCGACATAAGTCGCAACTTGTACGAAACCAGCAGCAGCGACGATGACGACGTCAACCGTGCCTCCAAGAAGGCTGTGACCGAGGCCAGTAGTACTAATGTGCCCTTAGCTCGTCCATAGGATCGTAATAAAGTGTGAATGGGATGAGTGTTGTGTGACTTGCGCCTCAACGCTACAGGACTTACTACTACAGTACTACGGTACATACTGTAACGTAAAACAACCAGTACATTGCCTGATGACCTGAAGGCACTTTTCATGACGAAACTATTTAATTACATATAAACACTTGTGAATACGCTTCGTATGGAGAATAACATTACAAGTCCTACTATTTCGATGTAAATAGTGTATTCATGGCTAAACTACGGCCTTACTTGATTTCACGACTTTGACCAGCAATAACTTGGTGAAGCATACATTAAATCCTTCAAAACTTGCACCTATGATGTACCGCGTTTAATCTTCTATAACATCATATTAGTTGAAAGTTCGTCTAAATCTATCGTCTATAAGTTGTCTTATTTGTTGAGAAAGCGTAAAAAAGCTAGTAGACTACGTAGTATTAATAGGGGGTCAATTTTCGGGCCATCTATTGATCGTTCAGATTACAGCAATAATAATGCTGGCGGCTAGGCTCCCTCCCGATGCACCCAATGAAATTAGTGATAAACTACTTGCTCGGTTTTGATTGGACAGGAGGGCGAGAGGGGCGGTATTCCAAAAAAGAAACGGACTGCCGAAACGATTTTTATTCAAGTAGAAAACTATGTGTAATTCGATTGAAGATGCCCGAAATAAACTTATATAGAGGAATACCAATATTTTTCCTCGAAAGCAACCATGCGATTAAAATTGCGTCCAATTATATTGTGTGAATTTTAGATTATACTTGTGTTTTGAATGGAGAGAGCACGACTGAGGAATAAAAACATGTTCAACTGTTGTGTTCGTGGGGGCGACAGACAGGTACAGGACAGTACCAGTAGACGGCCAACGACTGCACAAAATGACCTCGTCGATCACCATGGCTGCCCCGCGAAGCAGCAAGCAGTATGACGACGAACCAGACCTTTTCTCTCAGCAGCTACAGATGTATGCCTCCCTCGGCCGTAATGAAGGCCAACAGGCTGCCACCGCGAAAGCGAAGACGGACGCCGAGTTCATGGCGCTGCTAAGCGCATATATATCAGGAACAGAGCCCAAAGACTACCGGATGTATCTGTCGACTCCATTGGTCCCACAGCAACGACATGCCAGTAGCTCGGTCGACTCCTCGCAGCGCCATGTAACGAGTCCAACGTTGACGCCTTCGGACTCGCCACAAATTCTCCATCCTAGGATTATCTCGCGCGTTGTCAACGCCTTCGACTTGCCGACCACGCCTCCCCACAGCAACAATAACGCCTCGTCACAACGGCAGTATCGTATTGACGTACCTGCGACGACATACACAGACGCGCGCAGTCAGCGCAATGGGAGCAGCAGCGTCTTGCATTCCCCGCCCGCGACAGCCCCCGAGGACGACCTCGACTTTGATCAGAGAAGCTCGTTGGGCTCGGCCGACGACAACAACGACACTCCTCCTCCCCATGGCGTCAAGTGGAACAGCGAAAGTGGGTTCGACGTCGTGTTCCAGCAGCAGTCGATGGGCATGAAGCTCGGGTACGACGCCATCAAGAAGTGCGCGGTGGTCAAGGAGTGTTTTGACGGCACCGAGTCCAAAAAGTACAAACAAATCACCAACGGCGTCGCCGTTCTGTCTGTGAACGGCCAAAGTCTTAGCGGCATCAGCCTCTCCAAGATCATGTCGCGGCTGCGGGTAGCCCAGCGACCCGCCGTGATTCGATTCGAAACCGCGGACGGAGGAAGCTCGTTTCCATAGTGGTTGACACGATGACGTTGTCGAGACTATATATTAATCTAATGCGGGCACAGATATCGAGTGGTTGATAACGCTACTGTACCTGTACTTGAATACTCGTATATATAGATACTAATAACTTGGTGTTGCTCCCTGAAACATGCAATGATTATTGATTGGTCTCTATTTTTGATACATTATATTGCAATATCTTGCCAGCCATTTCGTTATACCATGGTACTACTACGTAGTATGGCAATATTAGTGGCATCAATTATTTATTGCTTTTGAGTCAAAGCCAATTATTTATTTCGAAGTAATATTTTGAATTTTCGTCCCCTTAAATAGTACTTCGAAGTAATATTGTCCTATTGTCCTTTACCCAAAAATTGAACTTGTATGCTAATTCGCCAAATCTATCGATCGATTCTTTGAACTGACTTTTGTAACTAGGGGCTGGTCGCAGAATCTTTCTAGGGACTAAGCTCATTAATATTTATGGGAGCTTATTAATACTGTAAGGACTGATTCGAAATTATCCGGATTTTGCCCATTTAAAATGGAAGCGATTTAATTGGTTGAAATCCAAGTGTGTATTACTTTGACCACGTGGCTCATTAATAAAAAGCACGATCATGAACCTTCGCATTTTGGCAGCACTGCTTGTGTTGGGCTGTGTGAACCTTGTGACGGTGCGGGCGGAGAATGATGCTTCTGACGCCACCATCGTTGAGGATGTCGATGGGGTCGATGGAGCATCCGACGAAGTCTTTGATCAAGGCGACGATGCGACGGGAACTCAACAACAACCCCAGATCTCGGAAGCAGTGTTTGCCCAGATGTTGGACCTCATTTCGCCCGACTGTCGGGCTGCGATCCAAGCATCTCCAGAAGACGCGAGTGGTCTGTCCGATGAATGCAAGGTGGAAGTGCAAACGACGTTGCACAAGCTCATGGGCGGCAAGGTTCGCGACCCGAACGACCCTGTGACCCCCGAGATCTTCCAAAAGATGTTGGAGACCATTCCTGCTGAGTGCCGCGCCGAAATCGAAGCCAACCCCAAGGACGTCTCCAAGATTTCGGACACATGCAAGCACAGCATTCAATCCACGATGACCAAGCTCATTGCCAAGGCTAAGCGTGCTGAGGAGTTCAAGAAGTCCAGGGCGTCTGCCAAGGCATACGATGCATCGACGGACGAACCGAAGAAACATCCGCGCCGACGCGGCAAGAAGGAACCCAAAGGCAGCAACACCACGACGTTGCTCATCGTGATCGGCTTTGTCGTCACGGCCATTGCTGGAGTGGCCGGGGTCGCGTACACGTTGAGCCAGAAACAACGACTCGAAGCAGGCAAAGCCAAACCCACCAAGAAACTCAGCAAGCACAAAAAGGAAAAGGACGGACGGCGCCAACAAGCCGCCGCCGCGGCGTCGATCAATTAACGAGGCCAAGAAGTTTCTATTGATAACACGTCAAGCCACCAACAATCATGACCACCAATTTATATTTCACAGACCTTGCTATCGTTGTTGTACTCTATCACGGACGTATTCCTCCTTCATCTCAGCATGCGACACCGCTTGTGGGTCGATCATACATCAGGCACGACCTAGCTAGGTTGATTTGGCAGTCCAGAACAATCGATCACGCATGGCATCACGCAGCCACAGTCGCAAGACCTGTATGCAGCAAACTCGGACCAGACAATGAATCTCAACGCAGTCAAGACGCTCGTTCATGTCGATTATTCGAAATTGGAGTGGGGTGCTCACAATCGAATGACCAGCACCGAATCGGCAGACAATCAAAGATCGACCAATCAAAACCCCATAAAGTAGTCAATCAAAACATCCACTCTTCGACCAATTCAACATCGAATTAACGTTAGTACTTCTAAAGAATCCATGGATAGATTGGATGAATCAGCACCAAAAGTCCAAATTTGGGGTAAAAGGACAATATTGTCATGCGTCGGACATTTAACCCTTGAGCCGAGTTGTGCCCTGGAGAGATTTGGACTTATTAATATTAATATTAGCCAGCAATTTTCGTTTGTAATAACGTTATTGCACTAGCTTACAATTATGAACATTTGTCTATGTATCGTTATGGAGGCTACAGTCGTCCTTGCACATTAGACGGCATTCACGACGAGTTTGGGGTTGATCAAAGGCTGGTGCTCCTCTTCCTCGAGGGTGGCTGCTTGGGACGGCTGCCGCGACAACACGACGACCCCCACGATCGTCGTGACGATGCTCACTGGATACATCACCACTTGCCACCACCCTTGCATGCCATGGTCTTCCCGGAAGAAAATCACTCCTGAAATCGACCCTGATGATCGTGTATCACCCAAAACACACAGTTAGTAACTCGCTTAGTAGATTCAACTAAGATCATCGTACCGCAGAGGATCAGGAACGACTCGTAGATGGCTACGATGTACAAGGCATCATACTCTTTCAAACCCAGGTTTAGCACGAAAATGCCACCGGCAGCACTGCCCAACGCGCCCGCAAAGATGAAATACGTGCCAACATACGTCCATACTTCGCCGCCGTTGCCGATCAGCTCGACAGACGTCTAAGGTCACGAGTACTCGTTATGAGCCACATGCAGGTAGTTGGCTAAATCGACATTGACATCTGTCATAAAGTAGCAACGGAAGTGTTTGCTACATGCACAACGCAGCATGTCCATCGGATACGTACTTTCATAAAGTAGAGGTTGCCGCCCACGAGCCCGGCCAGCGCGCCAAACGCAAAGCGCCGCGTGTAGCTCGAATGCGGAAACGTGTGGACAATGTACGACAACTACGTGAACGGTAATTGTAAGCTTGCATCATGGAATGTGGCGATGTGTGTACCGCAATGCAAGACACGACCGAGATGCTAGCATACACCATGAAAATGGCTTCGGAAAACAGCGCGTAGAGCTGGTCGGGTGTGTGGGTGGGAGAAGCGTGGTCGCCGGACATGCTCACGAGGCCACACCCTACGAGGATGATGGACGAACCCTGCACGACCTGGTCGGACAGCTTCTCCTGGAGGACGAACGGAGACAACACGATGTTCCACACTACGCTAAACCCCGCCATGGGCGCCAGCACGGACTGCGCCGCGAACGAATAGCTCCACGCGTCGAACACGGGATTCAGGATGATCACACAGACAAACGCGCCGGCAAAGTAAAGCAGGTTTTCGCGGCGCTTGTGGGCTAGCTTCATGAGCACCTTGCCCACAGTCCCGACGAGACTCGCCGCTAGCGACAGGACGATACCCACAAGCCATCCATAGTACATGATGTGGATGCAAAGGGTCGAAGGAGCGGTGGGGTGTCCGACCAGCGGAGGAAGAGAGATTCTTGGGTGACCTCTGGCGGTGTGGTTAGCCAATCAGGTACCAGAACTCAGTGGTTACACATCGAACTTAGGTGTGGAATGTACATAAAAATACAGCCTGCTACACAGGCATAAAAACTCACCCTTTCAATAATATTATTCTATTCGTCGATTAAGTACGGTTTCAAAGATTCGACAAGGGGTCGTTCGTTACGTTGAAAACAGATTCTAATTTAGGTGATTAGGAAACGTACTTTGCAGGGAACTTGTTTGCAAGGACCATGACGTGGCAGCACATTATTCATTTGAGCCGCACTAGGATGATACACTGTAACCAGTGGTAACTGCTCGGTGCGCTTAACGTTATGAAAATACCCGTTGCAGATTGAACGTGTTTGACGTTAAACAACGCCCCCTAGCTAAACGGCTAATGTAAATCCACCAATGAGGGGTAGCCTCGCCCTGTGCGTACGGCACTCGCAAGCGCAATTTTGTAGGCCCTACCACCCATCCGATCCACCATTTGTTCGAGAGCGTCGTGCCCAAATCCAATGCCAAGAACACGATAATGTGGTATGTGGACACCAGAGGTGGCGGTCAAGATGCCCAAGTTCCCGACATTAATCAAAGCAACTCCGACTTGTCGGGATGTGCCCGGGGAAAACTTGGTATGTGATCCAGACCCAGGGTGGGTATAATCGTTATCCGGACAATGCGATGCTGTGTCAACCGACAAGGGTGGTTTCAACATTCCGAAGCGATGTCAAGTGTCCGATCGGTCTGGTTTATTCTCGTTGATGGCCATGGTACCCAGCTGACGTTGAAAACCGTGCTGGGGTATCCCCAATGGTGCGACGGTAAACGCTATTTTACCGTTTTTGGGATCAAATAACGTTATGCAGTTTTGGCAACCCCAACGGCGCGACCGTATCTACCAGAAACAGCATATTTTTACCGCGAGGACGGAAACGGCAAAATACAGGAGCCAATCATTGACTACTATTTGAAGTATTTTCACCAATCAATTGCAAGCATGGATATCTCGGTAGTTAGATGCTCTCAAAAGCACGGTTGGTTTGAGCAAATGCACAAATGCAACGCAATTGAGATCGGAGTTGCCTGGGTTGAGCGACACTACTGGTATAGTAAAGTACTACTTAGTACATATGTATAGCGTTACCAAAATTGTCGGGACGTGTGTTGGTTGGTCCTGCTTTTCAATTGGTTAATCGCACGTATTTTCAACCAATGAAAATTGACCAAGGTGGGGATGGCATTAAAGAACTCAACACCATCATGCACAAGCTGCTGGTCAACACGACGGACTTGAACCCACACTTCATCTGCACACTGTGCCACGGGTACTTTCGGCAGCCCTACACCATCCGCGAGTGCATCCACACATGTACGTCGTCGCATGTTCCCTCTGCCTGATGACCTCGACATGTAGTCTGCAAGAGCTGCATCTTCAAGTACATCGTGTCGGGCGTGGGCAACCAATGCCCGATCTGCCAGCTCGAGTTTGGGACGTATCCGTTGTCCGGAACGAAGACAAAGCCTCCTCAAATCGTGTACGTTGCTCCTAGTCTACTCCCGGACGATGCTTGACCTTCGTGTGTGTGATGCGCAGACAAGATCACGTCATGGAAGGTCTGGTGAAGAAGCTGTTCCCGCAGTTGGACCTGCAAGACAAAGAAGACGGTAGGAGTATGTCGACGACTCACACATGGTGCTCACGACGTTGTAGAGGAACAGTTTTACGCGGAACTCGAGTTCGACCCCCGAAATGGCTCCGCTGTCACCCTCGGAAAGGATGCTAAGTTCAAACGCATGGGCGGTCCCCTCGTCAAGATAATCATGCGACCCGTGAAGAGGTACGTCACAGCTGCTTCTTTCCATCATCCCCTACCTACTAACTATCCTGTTGCAGCACTCTGCGGGCCACTGGCGACCCCCCTCGAAGTAAAGACATCACGTTTGCGTGGGAGCTTCCAAACAAAAACAGGGTAGGAAGTATATGCGTTTCCATACTTCGATATCGATCATGCTGATGCGCGTGGCATGATAGGTATCGGACTTGAAGCTATGCTTGCGCAAGTTTCTGTCGAGAAAGAACGTCGTGATGGACTTGGGCGAGATTCAAATTCGATGCAAAGACAAGATCTTGGGCAAGGAGCATTCGCTCCAGTTCATTCAACGCACCATGTGGAAGAAGGACGCGCCCATCCAGATGGAGTACCGCCGCGTGGACGCCACGTCCAAGACGCTCGAACCTTTCGGCGGCCCCGACGCCGAGCGCGACATTTGATATTTAACCACCTCGCATAGTCTCCATGTCTTTGGCGTCATAGCACCTCTTGAATGCTTTCAGAGGCGGGGATCCCAGGCATCCTGGAAACAGAATGCTGCCAATCCACATATACATACATATCCACTCACTGTAAGCCCCGAAACCCCAAAGGCCCTTCGTTGGCTGTTTGGTGATGCGAAACAAGCATATTGGGAATGTATACACAGCAGCCTCATGTATGCATGTTGCTTGGACGTGTACACCCCCTCGATACAGCTATATATATGCAAGGTGGATTCCCATTGTCAACTTGTGATATTATTGTACATAGTACACAGAGGAGCGCAGTGGTACTGTACATAGTATGTAGCTCAACACATCCATGGGCGCAGCTCCTCATATGTATGCACGAGCCTGCCTGCATGCAGCAAAACTCAAAATTATATAATTGCTTAACGGGAGCGGAGAATCAAATCAATAAATATTTAGGTTTCACGCTCAAGAGCAATAATTCTATTAATCTACGCGGCACAAAATCAGCCGCGATTGGCTAACAGTAGTATTCGGCGCGAAGCTCGCACAATTTTTGACAGGCTACACCCATGAGCAGCAACCGAGCGCGCGTTGCAAGAAGAGCCACAAACAGTCTCAGTTGTATCTACAATACCATAACGACTCGGACAAATATAGTATGTGCTTCGGACACGCACTCAACCATACCCGAACGCTTAAGCTCTACGGCCTGTCGTTCTCGTGTCTGGGATGGAAAAAACCATGATCTTGGAAAATTGAGATTCTGGTTTTTTGTAAAACCATAAAACCAAAAAATCCATTGCTAAAAAACCATAAATAGTTGTGCCATTTTTTTATCTTAAGTTTTGTAAGAATATAATCCGGATATAACATCCGGACACGTACTCCCTTTGGCCAGATAACGCCTGAAGTAAAGCAAGGCGCATGCAGCACAAATCGTGTTATTACTTCATGTTATTGGCTCGAAGCCATTAAAAATGCGAATGCGTATTATATGAAGTTAATCAGTCCGAATGTTCACCTTCGGATGCGCTAAACGAATCCACCGAAAAATGCAAGGGCGACGCCCATGATTGATGCTGTTCATATCGGGCAATACGTAGAAACAAACTTGCGACAATCGTCCTGCGAACCGCTACACTACATTGACGGTTACTGTTAACGCCTTGGTGAAGAAGTGATCGCGGTGGCCTAAGTAAGCGATAAGTAGATGTTCATCTGTGTTGGAATCCCTGCGGGTGGGGAAAATGCGTCTTATTGGTGGAACCAGCATAAGACTCTTTTATCCGAACATTATCCGTAAAAAGCCATGTTACATATACACGCGTCGATGCGTATGCGGCCTATGGCGTCTGCGCTTACTCGATGCACCATCGTCGCCTTGGTGAATCGACAGCCATCGAATCAATGAAGCGCATTACAAGGGCTATCGTCTCAGAGTTACTACCCTTGATTCGATCCTCAGACACTGCTACCCATGTCTTGGAGAGTAACTCGGTCTCCATGGCGTTCATCGATAACGACATCGTCCAGCAATCGAAAAGTATTTCGTGTAGACTAGTTTGTATACCATACAAATTTCTTGTTATTAGATTAATTCGGCGCAAAACCTCGACTCGGAGTTTTTAGTGAAAACTCTGTGTGGAATGGTCAAGATTCAAGGCCCGGGGTTCTGAAACTCAGTTTCAGTGTCGAACTCAGTGTTGGGGTGGGGGTAAATTCAGGGTCAAAATATCATCGACACTGAGTAATATTCAGTTTCAGGGTCAAATTCCGTGTACGGTGGAGATGCTCTAAGACCCAACCGGTGGAGATGCTCTTGGACTTTGATATGTGTATGTACATTGTATCCTTCTTAACGATTATGTGATGATTTAACAATGTTTGAAACATTCCTACAAAATTTCATCGTTGGTGGCTGACCAGCAAACTGTAAACTCGAAACCTAATTATCGCGTTAACAGTAAATCCAGTATTTCCCTCATATCCATGATTATGGAGGAACACCTTCGGTGTTGCTTCGAGGGAATAGCTCTTCGCTCATCAAAATCTGAATCGTCCAGATGCCCCACGAACGGGAAGGCCTGATGAGTGTCGGCAGAAGGAAGGGGCCGCATTGTGTGCTTGTCCATGTGTGTCGACTGAATACTGCAAACGATCAGCACTGAAGTGCTACATCGAATGCAATCTGTTCAGGTCATGGGGCGAGTAGCTTCGTTGGGGTCAACAGCAGTGGACTATTCCGCATAACCGCATAAACAAGTAGGGGATTCGTAAGTAGTTACTATGACAGCGGTTAAACTTCTTCATGAATGATGTGGTCGAATGTCTGCGGGAGTTCGATGCGGGTGGGCTGCACCCAAATCACAACGTCGTCGTCGCCCGTGTCGATGTCATCTACGTCGTACGGATTTATCCACAGCTCCTTGACGCCAAAGGTACGCGGTGGCTTGTTGCTTTGTTCGGTTGTGGCCGCAGGAGGAGTGATCGGACAGTCGCGCTGCTTCTTTTCGAGCTTGCGCTGGTTCGAGTTGGCTTTGAGCCGATGGTACTCGCAGAGACTGTGCAGCAGACCGTTATTCTTGACCGCGCGGACGTTTAAGCACACTTTGTTGCGATAGAGGCACTGGTTGTTGATGAACTGTGTCGTGTATGAAGTAGTTGACGGCATCATGGCCCTGTGATACAGCATGAGTGAGGGGCACTGTGCAAATGCGCAAATGGCCCACACTACAGTAGGGGAACTGTAAGAGAACTAGTTTTTCTGTTGGGTAAGTACAGATGTGCCATTTCTCGGATCCGTAATGTAAGTACACCCAATTTGGACTTGTGGGTCATTTCACCAAATACTTTCGAATCAGCTTGATCCTATTTAAGCTTGTACAAACTATACTTTACAAAGATTAGTATATATATGTTTTGCCCAACAGAGTCGAGTCAAACGTTTGGATTGGCTGTAATATACCAGAACATGATTTGATTGGCTTAGGAGGTGCTTTAATCCATTCTCTTACAGTTTAGACATTCGATTCTGCTGAGGGCTCCAGTTTCGAATCGATTTGACAATTGCTACATCAACTAGCTACTATATCAACTGCACCATACCGTGTAGCTACAACACTTAGCGTCGTAACTATAACACTATTCCATGTAGCTTCGACCGGCAACCTGTGAAGAACGAACTCACTGTCAATAGCTTAAAAACGCGAAATCAGGTTCTGAATAAGGATCGTCCAACATAGGCCGAATTTATCGTCCAAGTCGGTATTTGGGAAATATTGTTATTCCAAATGGTCCAACTTGTTTTCATTGGCTAACTGTAAAAGCACTGGAGTAAAACGAACCAGGTTACTTAAAAACGCATGGCGTCTTATTCCTTGCACATTCTACGGTTACTGTAACGACGTCCACTGCCGATGGTTAATTGAGTTTGGATTATCATTTTTAAGACATTCCTCGCGAGCGAGGGCCGACACTAGAACCACATGTTATGGCACCGCTTCGCCAATTGTAACGCGCCTGCTCGACCAGGGGCGGTGTGTAATCTTCGGTTTTTACTTCGCTCAACGCTTCATACCTCGTGCTTCAACCGATCTTCTTCGAAGTTCGGTCCTCGTCTTCGTACGCAGCCCTTGTTATCCGGATTCCCCAGGGGAGCCGATGGTTAATTGACTGTGAGTTTGGATTATCATTTATATTGCGAGGGCCGATACTAGAACTTCATGTTCTGGAACGCTTCGCCAATTGTAACACGCCTGCTCGACCAAGGGCGGTGTGTAATCTTCCTGTTATCCGGATTCCCCAGGGAGGAACGGATAAATCCTTGGGGAAATAATCCGGAGTCGATCCCACGACCTTTGAGTTAACATGTAAGAAATCCACTGCCGATGCCGATGGTGGAGCCAAGAGGCGCTGGCATGAATGTCTTAATAATGATAATCCAAAACTCAATTAAACCAAGAGGCCATAACGTTAGATTTGCTATCTACCAACCGTCGACCTGGCGCGGACCCGCTGCCGATCCGCCACGAATCCTTTGCACCGACCGATGAGGTAAGTCTGCAGTGTCGTGTTGGTCAAACTACTCTACAGCCCATGAAACAGCGGTATGGTCTAGAAGGGTGGGTGTCAAGAACGATGGCCGCGATAGAAAGTTGTTCACGAACACGACGCTGCGGCGCAATGGAAGCGCGCCGGCAAAGATTATTTTCGAGCATGCGACCTCAGAATGGAGCAATTTCGAGCAAAGTTTGGCCTCGGAGGCACTTTCTGAGCATACTTAATAGGAACAAAAACAAGTGTTTTCCTTGCGATAAATTCCGAGTAAAATTGGACATATGAAAAATAATGAAAATACCTTACATAGCACCTCTCACATGTAGGGGTTATGCACATCGCCGGTGGTTAGCTATCGCTAACCTCCGCCAATGAGCATAACCCCGGAGAATGAGCATTACATGTTTCCATCGTGATTTAGGGATTAATGGGTTACAGTGCTATGGGGTATCGGGGTTCCGAGTGTACAGGGCTACAGGTTTCGGCTTGGTAAAAGGAGTATGTACGGTAGTACTTCGTATTGGAGCAGGGTAATTTAGAAACATATGGAGGGTCGTAGTGCTCTAAAATTCTTCAAAGTGACCTGATTTGGTATTCCCTTTTAACAGTACAGTGTAAGCACACTCGGAAAGGCTTGTACAGTATGGTCGGAATTGCCCGAAAATTCTCCATTTTGAGGCCTTGCCGGATTAATTGAGTTTGGATTACTACCCGCATGCGAAAATAAGTGGTTTGGCAAAACCTGAATCCGAAAATAAGTGATTGATTCAGTTTTGATGCCTCTGATTTGACAAAAAAAAAGTCAACAACCAATTATGAACCATGAAAAGCAACATATTTAGGAACTTACTATCCAATCCAAAGTCTCAGATAATTATGTCAATCGAGTCAGAGCTGTCTGTCCAGCTTGTGTCCATTCCTTCTTCGTCAGCATCGTATGACGCAAGGCAGAGATGCTCAAGGTTTGAGCTCAACCTAGCTAACTCCATATTGGAAGCGACCTCCTCCGCCAACAAGTCGACATGCGCATCAAAATC